TAGACAATTGCTCTCAAGTGGGATAATCTCAATAGATTATATCAGGTCAAAAGATAATTTAGCGGATCCATTTACAAAAGGTTTGACAAGAGAGCAAGTGTATAGTTCATCGAGGGGAATGGGATTAAAGCCGAAAGCTAACGAGTCATCTTAATGGAAACCCAACCTAGTTGACTGGAGATCCCAAGATCTAGGTTCAAAGGGACAACAGAAATTCTGAATGGCTCACCAGAAGCACTGGGAAGATTTAATCTTCTACCCATTTCTATGATGAGACAGTGTTACCTACAGCGATGAGTAGGATATGCTATGCTTTTAATGACTCTTATACCTTGAAAATTCAAGTGGGGTATGGTAGGATACTCTTAATAAGAAGTCACCTATATGAGTGTGAAGTGGGGCCGCTTCTATGAAAACTTCTAAGGCTAAGTTTTCTAAAGCTCTCATGAAATACCAGGCGTTGTTCAGGGCTATATGAACACAACCATGAGAACCGACTCTGTGCGGGAAAGAACTGTGTGTTTACTATTGTCTTGGTTTACATAAACGGCTGAACAGTTCAAGACATCATGTTCTCTGGTTAGCCAGTAAATTCGATAGTAATACACTAGGAAAGGTTCAAGGCCAAAAGCTACCTATCCCGATGCAGTAACTTTCCAATAGTACTCTCTATAGTGTCTGTATCTTCTCCTTTTGTAATCTGCGTTAATTTTCATTCATGTGGGGGATTGTTGGAAACGGCATTAGAAAACGCAAACTTTGGAAGGATTTTTAAAAGATTCCGCTAAGAATTTTTTGCGAATCTATTGACGAGCGCGTTCCTCTCTGCGAGGAGATGAATGTGGTATATTTATTTTCTCAAATCCGTTTCCAGGTGAATGAGAAATTGGCTCCAAAGTAAGTGATTTATAAAGCCTAAATGGGTGTGAATAAAGTGGGAAATGCTTGTCCCACATCGAAAAAGTAGCAAAGCAACCTTGAGTATATATATGTCTAGTATGGGATTTGGGTTTGGGCCCAAGGGTACCCAAGTTTTTAAGAGGGGGAGGACCTAGGCTAGCCTGGATCCGACCCGACCCGGTCCGGTCCGGGCTTGGGCGGGGCGGGGCTTAATTGTTAAATGGGTCTAACCTTTTTACACAAAGTTGGACTGGGCCTGTGTGGTTGAAATTTATTTTATTTGTCTACTGGACTTATTTAAGTGGGCTTGCGGGTGGAGCACGCTGGGCTGGGCTGAATTAATGGCCGAAGTTTGCTTGCTGGGCTGGATCGGATTAATCTGTTTTGGGTTTAAATTCAAATTAAAAACCATAAAACAGTTTTTGTTTGAACCAAGGGTTGCACCTTTTGAACCTAAATCAGTTTTGGCTTTCTAATGTCTCATTGGTCCACAATGGTTGCATTCATTCGGAATATGGGTGCACCCATTTGGAATAGGCACCATTAAGCCTATAAATAGCCCTCCTTGGATTCATTTCAAGATACCAAATTCAGAAAAAAAATCTTCTCTCTTCTGAATTTACTTCTCCCTCTTTTTCTTTTATAATCTGTTTGGGTTCGACCCTAACCAATTGGGTTCAAACCTTAGGGATTCTGTTTGGGTTCAACCCTAACTAATTGGGTTCGAACCTTAGTCACTCACTTCGAGTCCGAATCCGAGTCTGAGAGTACTTCACCGGGCCGGTTCGCCTATTCCATTGGTCTGAAGTGCTACTACTAAAGGAAGAAAAGTCGTTGTATCCTGGGAGATAGACGCCGAAGAGTCCGTTAGCACCGTAGCGGGGCGTATCTATCTTAAGGCTATAGAATTAAATTCTAGCCTCGACTTTAACAGGTTCTTTTATTTTATAGTTTTATTTTCTTGATATTAAACTATATGAATATATATAGATTATTATAATAAATATTATATTTACAAATAATATTTAAATAAATTATACTATAGTATATGATACATATTTGATCCACATACTATAATGTCCATTAATTTATCTTTGAACTTAAAATTTTAATAGTATCTCAAAAGAGTACAAAGAAATCTTATAATTAAAAGGGTAGTTTGGGAACTACAACCATTTTCTTTTCATTTTCATTCTTTTCAAATCTATTATCGTTTACATAAAATAATTTTATACTTTATTTATTCACGCATTTGCATCCATATATTGCAAGGTGCCTATACGCACTATCGATGCCCATCAATTGTGGAGAGAATGCCCATTTAATCACAAAATATCAAAGAGGTTACAAATACAAATATATATATATTTGTATTTATATATTTGTTAAATAAAGAGTTCCATTAAGCACCAACTATTCATTTTAATTTTTTTTTGTTAATGTATTCTTTATTTCATAGTCATTGTTGTAGACGTAATTTTTATAATTGTATTTGTATATGTTGTAATTTTTTTATTTTAACTGATTGATATTTATTTTTTATGATTTATATAATTTTTAATCACATAAATGAACATTATTGTTATTACTATATATATATATATATATATATATATATATATATATAATAGTTTTATCTGATGTTGTATTATTATAATTATTATTTTTTATATTCTTCAATGACTAATTCACCTATGGAAAAAAATCATTAAATCAGTATGCAGTAAATTTTGCTAGTAATTTCTAAAAAGAAAATGATAGGGACACCAGCAACGATATGGTTTTGCCACTTAAATATGAAAAAATATTTGAGTTATGTCCTGTCAAGACAGATTGTGGACGCCTGATTGTGTACGCCTGAGTAATGTGTTTGAATGAAAATTTGACATGTGTGATAAAAAATAATATAATATTTAAAATTATAAAAATAAATTAGACCCGTTTAAGATGTTTATCCGGGGAGACTCATGTGAAAGAAATCCCCTTCTCTTAAATCTCCATTCCAAATCCCTAACCTCCGGCACTCCTGAACCTCTGTGCCACCACCAACTGTCCCACCCTCACTCCACCACCCCCTCAGTAAACAAGCTACCAAAAATCTACATAGCCACCAGTTGAGAGATCAGTTCTCTCTCTCACTCCCATCTTCTCCATAACAACATGCCAGTGCTTGGAATCGCAGCCATCGAGCGATATCATATCCTTTGGGGACGATTTGACGGAGACAAAGAAGGTAAGAAGTAGAGACAGAGGATAGAGGCGTAGAGAGAGAAAGAGAGGAGTAGGAGCTAGAGAGCATCATAGTATTTTTTGGTGGTGATTATGGAGTGAAGAGATGCATTGTGGTTGATTTCCGTTGTGGGGTGATTAATTGTTTGTTCACTTCTCTCAGATGGTTTGGTGCGTGTTGTGGTGATGAGTGGCAAAGGAAGAAAGTTGAAAGGGTGATGGAGGATCACAAAAGTTGAAAGGGTGATGGAGGATCACAGAGAGGTGGAGAACTGTGGTTGAAATGGGGTTTCTTGATTTTGGAAGTGTAACAACTCAAATGGGCAGAGGATTGAGACCGGTTAATCCGTTTAAAATGGTTTAATTCATTTTTTACTTTTTGAGACAAGCCTAAAATTTTTATTAGGCCACCAAATCTGCCTGACACAATTTGTCCTGATAGGACACGACGCAAGCATTGTTCTACTTGTATAAAACATGCATTGTCCCTTAAATATTCTACTTGTATAAAACATTCTTGTCATGTCCATCTTACAAATTTAAGGGATTTTATATGATCCCACTCACATGTCCATTAAAATAACATGAATTTTTAAAAATAAAATTATCATTATATTACATTCTCGATGCTACAATTTTTAAGATTACTTAACTGATCCTCATTTCAAAAATAACTGTAATTAAAAATCCCTTAAATTTGTTTTATAAATTTTATCAGAACACTATCTCTCTCTAAATAGATATGCAATTCAATCTGTTAAATTTATTTTTAAAATTTTATCAAAACACTCTCCATCTCCTTTATTTATTTATATATATACATATACATATACATATACATATACATATATATATAGATGTTTAAGAATATGTAAAATTTTATAGATGAGTGTAAAAGAATATACAAAATTTCGCAAAACATAATAAAAAAAAAAAATAAAAAAAAAAAAATTATTATTATAAATACCAGGTGCTCTTCCCCTGCTCCACCTTGCCATATATACATAATATGTATTTTACTATATATATATGTAAGAAATTTTATAGAAATGTTAAAAAATGCCCTCCCTAAAATTTTAAATTTCTAAAAATATATGATAAATTTTTGTTATACTTTTGAAATTCTTTTGATTCCTTATTAGAAAAAATGTTATATTCCTTTTTTAGTTAAATCCTAATTTTGTTTTCCTTTCAAAGTTCTTTCTTTTTCTTTGTTTTTTTTGTTTTTTCTTATTATTATCATTTTTTGAAAGATGCACTTCTATATTTTGGATTTGTGTCTTTTCAATCAATTTCTTTTTATTAAGACTATGATGCATCGTTAAAGCCACTAAGACTAATTAAATTAATGAAAAGCATGGGGTAGTTGAATTTTTTTTTCTTTTTTAATAAAGTATATTACACCCCTTAAAATTATGGCTATGCCCTAATCAACACACTTATGCAGGAAACTAGTAATAGGCTAAATTGACTCGTCAATCATATATCGCATAGAGATATATGATGAGAAATATTATTGATAATTGAGATATTATAAGGATAATTTTGTCTTTAAAATTTTATCTTTTTAAATGTAGGACATAACACATTACCATCTCCCTAAGTTTTGGGTAGGACTATTCGGTGTAAACATCTTTTTACAAATTGGAGTTTATTCTAAATTTACAAATAGTCCATTACAATCCAATTACTTTTCCAATTTCAAAATCAATAACTTGTTAAGAAACAAAGCACCATGCATCGGAAACTAGGAGATTGATTATCCAAGACGGAACAAAGAAGTTCGATTTCTGGTCGCCGTCGGTGAGATTTCTTTGTATAACGTGTGTATACACATATATATTGACGAATCAATCAACCGGAAAATCAGAATGAATCACTATGAGGTGTTGGGTCTGAAAGGAACAGCTAACAAAGAAGAAATCCAGAAGGCATTCAGAGAATTGGCAATGCAATTCCACCCAGACAAGCACACTCAATCCTCCAAGTCCGTCAGAGACCATGCGACCCGCCGATTCAAGCAGATCAATGATGCTTACGAGGTTCTCATCGAGCATCACAAGCACGCCGACTACAATCAGCCAACTGCCAGTGGCGGCGGCGGCGGCGGTTATAGCCATAGTGGGTATGATTATGGTGAATACTATCATAGTTACCGGTCATCTGGTAGTGGTAGTGGTGGTTATAGCCATAGTGGGTATGGTTATGGTGGTGGTGGTTACAGCCAGACTGTGTATGTATATGGTGGTGTTAATAGCCATACTGGGTATGATTATGGTGGTGGTGGTGGTGATTATGGTGAATACAGTCATAATTACCAAAAATCTGCCAGTGGTGGTGGTTATAGCCACAGGGGGTATGGTCATGGTGAAAAGAGTCATAGATACCGATCATCTACTACGGCTAGTAGTGGTGGTGGTGGTTACCCCCATATGGGTTATGGTTATGGTCAATACAGTGGGTCTGCTTCTCATGGCGTTTTTTCCAAGTTTGGGAATGCTCTTCGCGGTGCTATTCTTCTTAACGCCGCCTTAGTTGGATTTGCTGGGTAATTTTCATCTCTTTCTTTTGTTTTTAACAAAACGTCTTGTTTTATTTTATGATCATTGGGTATATATATATATGTATATATATTATTTTTTCTCTAAATCTGCTTCTTATTTATGATTCCTAGCTTGCTATCAAGAACAAATGATTCTTGAAAATCTCGACACTCTAATTTTGTTTCTCTTTTTTATTTTTATTTTTGAGAATGAAGTTTGAAGAAATTCACATGGACATTAGTCCCTCTGTTAAAAGCCATTCTGCCCTATACTACTAATGAACTCATAGTAATAAGTTTGATGATTTGATGTCATCCAGTCTTTAGATATGAATGATCAATTCCTTAATTTCGGGACTTAGCAATAAAATTATAAATGAAAATTAGGTAATGAACTTGATGGGAACATTAGGTAAAACATTATAAATGATAAAATTATAAAAAGTAGGCTTAGATGATATGACCTTATTTAATGTAGACTATTTAATGTAGACCCGATGATGCACTTAAAAACTAAGCAACAAAAAGGCTTACCAATTTAAAGTAAACTGAACTGATTTTTCTTAGTCATAATTCTGTTCAGTATTATTTCCAACTGAAAAGGATGGAAGGATGACTTGATGCAGAAAGAGGTGTGGTCGTTTCTGAATATTTTAACTTTTACCTTTTATACCCACCCCATCTTTTCTTTTCTGCTAGTGTGAAATCACTTTTAAATTTTAATGATGTAGGATATGTCAATGATTTTTTTTTTTTTTTTTTAAATTTCCCTTTTCCTATATATTTATTTATCCATTTTTGGCTACACCACTAATTGAACATGCTATTATGTGATGTTTGCTCTGGTATCTGCTGCAGTATATTTAATGGTTTTTATGTTTGAATGGAATTTTGCTAATAAAGGTTTGGCAGTACTATATTAGGTGTATCATTTATCGTTAATGGAAGCGGGGATGCACCATGGAAGTTGCGCTATCCTGGGGTAAGTAATTGGTTTTCTTTTCTTTTGTTGAGGGGGGAGCTTGTTGTTGACGGGTTAGTCCAGAAACTTCAATCTAAGTACCTAACCAGACCTTCAATCCGAGTTCTATCACACAAGCCTAACTCGTGTTCAAATCATTGGGTTGTGGTTGAGTTTGAATTGAAAAAATCGGTTTGGTTCGAATTGGTATCAGTTAGAGGGATGCAACTTAGCTTGTCATTGAGGGGTTAGTCCAAGTTAACCCAATGTAAAGAACATTCAATCTAAGCCAACCTAACCCGACCTTGAATCTGAGTTGTGTCTTTTCATTCTCTCTTTTTTTTTTTGTAAATTATAAAAAAGTGGACTTTGAGAGGTTTTTTTATGTAGAGATGAGTCAAAATCAACACTTTTCAAATTCATGAACTTTGATCAAAATTTGATATGGGTATAAATTAATACCGTTCATTTGCCCAAACTACCCTTAGTATTTCCAGGTACTACTTTTATACATGCAAGTACTACTTTTGTATACAGAGGAGCCATTTTTGTGCACATATGTACCATTTTTGTGCAAATTGAGTAATCAAAATGCTCTGCACAAAAATGATATCTTTGTACACAAAAATTGTACTTATATGCACAAACGTAGTATCTATGTACAAAAGTGATACTTACCTATACAAACAAAAGTGGTACCCGAAGATACTAAAGGTAATTTGGGCAAATGAACAGTGCTCTTTTATGTCGACATTAGATTTTAGTCAAAGTTTATGAATTTGAAAAATGTTAACTTTGGCATCCTCCTTAAGTAATAAAACCTACCAAAGTCTACTTTTTTTTCCTTTTTTCTTTTTTTTCCTAATTTAAACTCATGTTCAGATCATTGAGTTGGAAAAAAAAAAAAAAAAAAATCAAACTGGTTCAAGTTGGTCTCAGTTAGACTAGAGTTAGGTTCGAGTTTTTGTATGACCTCCATATCCTAAGAAATCGGGACATGGCTTTACATTTGCAGGGTCGGGTTAGAACTGAGTTAAACTCAGGTTGGTAAGTTTAGGTTGGGTTCTTGCCTGATACCTTAAAGCTCACCTTCTTTTTTTTGAGTTGTAAATAATTTTGCCCCTGACCGATAAATGAACCAGGTTTTGTTCAATTGGGTCACTAAGTTGCACCCCTAGTTATGAGATGTTGAGGCATCCTTATCCAGACGACATTAACGGAATGTTATTTGCATGCAGAAATCACTTGAAGATGCGATGGAGTCCATAAAGAAGAAGACCAAAAGTATTCAAAGATGAGATGTAAAGGGCGCCTTTTTTATGTTTACCAAGTTTGCCTTCTTACTAACTCGACTTCAAAGCTTGAACCTTCGCATTGAAGTACCAACAACTAATTACATGGTGAAGGTCAAGAAACATTTTTTTTGCCAATTTACGCAGCTCAACCAATTTTTTTTTTTTTTATTTAATTTTTTAATTTTTTAAGGCCCCACCCATACTCGGTACAATGGATAAGGCACCGAAGGTCCATCTTACCTTCTAACTGAGCTACACTCGCGGGGACACGTTGACAAATTTATTGTGTGTTATATGATACTCCTCCATCTCAAAATAATGTCCTTCATGGTAGTATAGTTTTAATAATTTTTTATTGTATTGATAAAAATGAAATTTCAAAATATGTCCTTGTTAAAAGACAAAATAGTGTTAATTCATTTCTTTAGTTAAAAAAATACAATTTCGAAATGTTATTAAAAAAAATAGTAAATTTAATTTTGAAATGAGAAATGTTTTTTTTGGAATATTTCAAAATAAAAAGTTGGATAAACTATAAAATAAGAAGTATTTTTTTTCAAGAAAACGAGAATTGTTTTATTTGAAAATTTCAAAAAAGAGTACGTGAAATGGAAAGAAAAAAAATAACATTATTATGACAAATAGGTGACATTATTAGTTATGACACCAAAGTTTGTTAATGGAAATCACGTCCATGGATTGTGGATTTAAATTTAACTTATGTTTATGGTCCATTGGTTGTGTGTTTGGGACAAACTCTTAGAATTCATATTCTAACAAAAATGAATAGGTAATCCGATCGGAGTATTTCACAATCTTTGGAACACTCATTGGAGCTTACAATTCTGACACTTTTTTTTATGTTTCTAAATTAAATAAATTTATGCATGAATTTTTTCTTTTAAAAACAAAATGATATAATGATTTGTATCTTTAAAAATGTCATAAAAGATTATAATATATCTAAAGTTTTGCATTTTTTATTTTTTAAAAAGGACAAAAATATTAGTTTCAAACAAATCTATTTTAATTTCTATTTCATTTGAAATAAATAAATATAATTTTAATAAATAATAAGGAAGATAAGAAAAATGATGGATAAAGCATTATTAAAAAAAAAAAAAAAAAAATTGAGGTATTTCACTTACTTTTTGTTTAGTTGAATGAATGTTTGTAAATAATTTAAAATTAAAATTGGTATTTACTAATTACTCATAATATTATTATTTTTTTAAAACAAAAAATATTAAAAGTTAGATTAGTAGAATGTTTTTTATTTTTTAGTTGAAGAGAATGTATAAGTTGTTAAGTTGTTATTGATAAGTATGATCTGTTTTATCCATTACTCTCCCGTGCTTCCTCAACCCTTTCCTCAGTTTCCAACCAAACAACACATAATTTCTTTAACTTTCATGAAAACTTTGTAACTTTTCTCCAAAATTTTCATTCAAAAATTATATTAAAAAGACTTATTTTTCGTTCATTTCATTTTCTGTAACATAAATGATGGCCCTAGCACTGCCACGAATATCGGGTCTCTGGACAACACGTCACACCCCTTCCGTTTCTATTGATCCTTCGACGATTCCACCGGAAACTTGGAGATTACCCAATACGGAATAAAGAAGTTTCATTTCTGGTCGCCGTCGGTGGGATTTCCTCGTATAATATATATATGAATATAAATTGACGAATCAATCAGAAAATCAGAATGGATCACTATAAGGTGCTGGGTCTGAGTCGAACAGCGAACAAAGAAGAAATCAAGGAGGCATTCAGAAAATTGGCAATGGAATTCCACCCAGACAAACACGCTCAATCGCCCAAGTCCGTCAGAGACGGTGCCACCCGCCGATTCAAGCAGGTCTCTGAGGCTTACGAGGTTCTCATCGACGACCGCAAGCGCGCCGACTACAATCTGCGACGCAACAGCGGTGGTGGAAGATCTGCCACTGCCAGTGGTGGTGGTGGTTATAGGGGATATGGTTATGGTTATTACAATAATAGACACAATCATACTTACGGAAAATCTGCTAGTGGGTTTGCTTCGGATGGCGGCATTTCCAAGTTTGAGATTGTTCTTCGCTTCCTTTCCACCCGTGTTTTTCTTCTTAACGCCGCCTTTGCTTGGTAATTTTCATCTTTCTCTGTTCGTTTGTTTCCAAAAGTAGATGGTTTGTTTTGTGTTATGATTGTTGGGTATTCTCTTGGTTAAATTATTTCTTGAAAATATTCTTGTGAGATAATTCCTTCTATGTGAAGAACAAATGAAAATCTCCACACTCTGATTTTATTTTATTTATTTTAATTTTTTAATTTTTGGTAAATGATGTCAGAGGAATTGCATATGGATATACAACTAAGTATTGATTTGGTGTTTATGGGTCTATTAATTGTTGATTTTATATCTGCTCTTGTAATGAGAATTGAACATGAGTATCGCAGCAATAGGTGGTTATTCTCTAGTCCCTCTGCTAAAACCCATTCCGCTCTGTACTCCTAATGAAATCTTATTAAAGTGTTGCTACCGATCGGAGGTGAATCAGAGTGGGGTTCCTTTAAGTGTGATGATTCAATGTCATCGAGTCATCTGAAAGATATGGCTGACCAATTCCTTTCTTTTGTGTCTAATAAATTATTTCCTGTCAATGTGGAAAAAGAAACAAAATGTTGCTTTTAGAACCCCATTCCAATGAAATGTGAGAAATTTTCTATTCCTTAGTAATATGTAGCTCAATCTCCCGTTTTGTCCTCCTTTTCAGTTGTTCTTAGCTTGGAATGATAGTTGGTGTGCCATAATTTTGTTGAGTGTGATGTTTAGAAATTGGTTCTGGTTGATTCCATATTAAACTGTAATAATAATTTAAGTGGATCTTTTAACTACTATTGCATTGTACAGAAACAGCAGTTGTGAGGATATTTTATTGTTGGGTTGTTTTCCTTTTGTAGCTTAGAAATTAAAGTAAACTGAGCATTTTTTTCTGAGTCATGATTCTGTTCGGTATTACTTCCAACCGAAAAGGATGGAAGGATGGGTTTGATGAAGAAAGAGCTCTGGGTACTTGAATAACCGGCTCAGCTTCGGTCATATCCATTCCCTTCTTTTATGCTCTTGAGAAATCACTTATAGTTTTTAATGTTGTAGAATGTCAACCAAATTGATCTTCCTTTTTCTGTATATTGTTTGCTCTGGTATCTGCTGTAGTATATAAGTTATATAATGGTTTATATGTTTGGAAGGGATTTTGCTTATAAAAGTTTGGCAGTGCTTTATTAGGTGGATCAGTTATCATCGATCCCAGCAGGGAGGCACTATGGAAGATGCGCAATCCTGGGGTAAGCAATTGGTTTTCTGTATTGTGTGATAGAGTTGCACTTTACTTTTTATATTTTTTTGGTCGGACAAATGATACAATCAGAACATATTGGCTGTTGGTTTCCTATTATTATTGCTCAATGTTACACTTGGGGTCTTTTATTGCCCCCCTGATTCTTTTGAATCTCTAAAAAAGAGTCATGTGATGATAGTAGTCAGTTCTGATATTGGTGATTTTAGATAAATAATGGGGCTACAATTCGGTCTGTGCCTTAACCGGGGAAGAGGGGGGGATTGGGGGAGAACCTTGCAGAAAAAATACAATTCGGTCTTGAGCATATCAGACCATTAAGTTATGTAGAATTAGGACAGCATTAATCTAATGACCTTTTTGCCAATGAGAAAGACACTAACAATGGTTTTTATGTTTCTTGCTAAATGTTACATAGACAATTTTGTTTTTTTTTTTTTTGTTTTTCCCTTGGTAAGAAACTCACACACCCATTTGCCTGGGGACTTGAACCTTTACCTTCCACTTTGGGAGGTAGAGACGATACCACTAGACTACAACCCTTAGTTACACAGACAATTAATAATGAAGTATTAGGAAAACAGAGAGGATTGTCAATGTTATCAAAGGGATTGCATAGATAAGAGCATATACCATATATATGAAGATCAGATATGGGGTTGTGGGGGTGTGATGTTGTGGGTCTTGGGATTTCATAGATTTGTTTCCCCATTTCAAAAACGAAACCTTGACCCGAGACTTGTTTAGAGCACAATTTTATATCATCTCTTGGATTATCCTATCTTGTACATTATATGACTGATAAAAAGGATGCTATGGATCCTTATGCATAAGTAATGATGGAGTTCTAAAAATGGTTAGGCTTTGAAAAATGCCAGAGGGTCTTTAATATGAGATAGGGACCTACTCATGGTATGTTGATTAGGAAGAGTGACTCATATCAGTAGAAGCTCTTGTTGGGGTGTATGATCTCATGTGCCTCTCGGTTGACATATGTATTTTGGTCTCTCTCTCTCTCTCTCTTTGGGTGAGGGTGGGGGCCAAAAGGATGCAGTCGGAGTGGCATACGATATTAGGGCAGTAGTATGACAGTTTGATGGTTGCAGTAGGGATGGGATTTAGCTTCTTGTTGTGGGGTTAGTCCAGAACCTTCAATCTAAGCCAACCCAACCTGACCATCAATCTGAGCTCTGGTTCGGGTTGGTCTCAGTTAGAGGGATGCAACTGAGCTTCTTGTTGAGGGGTTAGTCCAGAGATGACCCAATGCAGTGAACCTTCAATCTAAGCCAACCCAACCCAACCTTCAATCTGAGTTCTGTCTACACAAGCCTAACTCGTGTTCAAATCATTGTGTTGGGGTTGAGTTCGAATTGAAAAAAATCAGACTGGTTCAGGTTGGACTCAGTTAGACTAACGTTCGAGTTTTTTGTGCGACCTCCATATCCTAAGAGAGGTTCTATTGGTCCACGTGCAGTAATCCATATGTATGCATCTATGTATATATAAATGTGCATGGTCGGGTCAGAACTGAGTTAAACTCAGATTGGTAAATTTAGGTTGGGTTCTAGCTTGATACCTTGAAGCTCAACTCAGCTTTTTATTTATTTATATTTATTTTTGTGAACTCAGGCCTGATTGAGTTGTAAATAATGTTGCCCCAAACCGATAAAGGAATCAGGTTTGGTTTGGACTGTCTTGCTAAGTTGCACCCCTAGGTTATGGGATGTTGACGCATCCTTGCCAAGACATTAACGTAATGCGATAAGGTGCCACCATGTGTTAATGAATGATATTATGGACAGCATAGTCTTTTTATTAGACAGAGTTCGCCGATGGGCTTGTTTTTCAAGCCCTAATAAAATGATCTGAAGTCGTGCACGTTAATGTTTAGTGCTTCACATTTTAGCCTCTTCCATTAAGTTTTGGTATTAAAAAAATTTAGTCACACCAAGTGCCCATTCATCTCTCTTTCTTTGTTCTTTGTTTGGCTGGAGTGGTTCAATTGAAACGGAGCAGATTGAATCTTGATAAAGACATTTACTTATAAAATGGTATTTGCATGCAGAAATCATTTGAAGATGCAATGAAGTCTGTAGAGAAGGCCAAAGCACTCAAAGATGAGATATAAAGGGGGCTATTTTATGTTTCCCTAGTTTGGCTTCTGACCAACTTCACTTCAAAGCTTGAAGCATCTCATATGGTAAAGTAGCAGCAACTAATTACACAGGCATGATCAAGAAACATTTTTGCCCAAGTAAGTTAGAAGCTCAACCAATATTCTTTTTCATTTCTGATATTTATATGTATTATGTGTGTGTGCATATATATTGACATATTGATTGTCTGCTTTATGTTATAAGATTGTCATATTGAATGATCAATGCAAGGATATAAACTTAAATGTAAATATAACCTTGATAAGTATATCCGTATGAATCATAATGTTTCCATTAGAATTTTTGTATGTTTCAAAACTTATTCCTGAATTTCTATTTCATACTAGCGACACCAAATAAGTATTCAATTTATCAGCTTGGCATAGTTTTCCAAGAATGTAGAAAGACTTAACTAAATGATTGTATCATGTAGTATGGAACTACAATCTTTCTGAACAATTCAATTGAAAATTGACAGCATACTTAGGTTGTCCTATGCTGTCCATCTGGAAATTGAAAATTCTTCTAGTATGATAACAATTCAATTGAAAATTGACAATGTTTAGGGGATGTTCTTCTGTCTGGCAAAATTTTTAATTAGATCACAACGAAAAGATTGGGAAAAGGTATTTTAGTATTAATACCTCAATGATGAGGAAATTAAAGTTTTACAAATGACTGCTTTCTACATAAATTCAGTCTCGAAATCCTTGAGATGTTCTTGGGATGCATGAAGGACGGGAAGTTTTACTCTCAGTGGATCAGCAATGCCATAAGATCTTTCTGGGCAGAATACTATATGCATAATTTCATTAGGGTCACTTTCTAAACGATACAGACGCTGTCCAGCAGCGTAACCACCAAGAAGTTGATATGATCTTTCTGATTGATCTAGCGTCAGGCAAAAATCATCCGTACCTGCAGAAAATAATAATTATCGTCACAATCAGAAAGTTTTGCCTCATATAGCACCCCACAACAGATAAAATGCACATTAGATGAGTTATTTCTGCTATCTTATTGTACAAATAGTTAATTTCCTCTACAAGTTTTGAATTAGCTGTGATTCTGTTTAACAATCAAATAGGTCTACAATAATGACATGTTTGTTGTAGCATAAAAATGTGTTGGAATAAAAGGCAGTGATCAAGATTATCTTTGTCGCCTCTAGAAAGCTAAGTATGTGATGTTTATTACCTATATATATATATATATATATATATATATATATGCGCACAATAATGCTCCAGGATTTCATCCATAGAAGCTGATGGTATATAATATTATATAGGTCCCGAAAGTGTTCATAAATAAACTGCTTGATTTCTGGTATTTATGTTGCATGGGCTCCGGTAAGTGTAGATATTCATATTATTTACTGTAATATTTTTATTTTATTTTATTTTATTTTTAGAGTAAAACAATGTCTTTGTGTAACCTAGTGTTCGATGTTGACATCTCACTCATTTTGAAGCAATAGCATATAACAAAATTGAATTATTGATCATGTTCGTTTTAGGTTTATGTCCCATCTAAAAGTGACTTAACATAAGGTCGCATAATTGTACTTTGGTTTTTCAAAACAAAAGGATTATATATATAAACACACACACATATTGTTAAACAGCTCAAGGAAAATCCAAATTGGGCTACTCTGGGACCCAGAAACTGAGTTCCAATAAATCTCAAGGGGTAGAGGAGTTTGCCACAACATCACGAAGTATGTCTTTTTTTTTTTCAAAAAAAAAAAAAAAAAAATCCCAAATAATGACCACTTATTATGGAATCAATAGAGCAAATAATTTAGCTGGAATGCATGTAAATAAATTGTGAAAATTTCAAAATGCATCACTGCTATAAAACGTTTTATGTAATTAAAATTAATAGGTACACAAAAACTCACAGGCAGCGAGATCTAACTGGGTCTGATAAATAAATTCTAGAACTGCGGAAATCTCCCGCTCAAATTGATGGAATGGTCCGCTCTCGAAATTCATCTTCCGTAGCTTGCACACTCCCTCTCCCAACTCCATCATTGCTCCTTTATGGTTCTAACATACCAATCAATCACGCACCAAACCCTTTTCAATTTCATTCACTAGTAATCAAGAACGTTTGGTATAATGGAGGAATCAACTAACCAACCAACCTGATTGAAGAGGTGATGAAAACCCACGGCGCACTGTAGAATACCGTGAACGAGGGTCCGTACCGGTTCTTGAGATCGGTTCCATAGGTCCTCGAGATAGTCATGGCATCTGTAGTAATCCCTGCCGTTGAAGAGCGCAACCGCTTCTTCAAACACATCGCTGCAATCAACGGCGGCGCTGTCGCCCGCAGAGAAGCGATACGATGAGCAAAACGAATGGTAGGGTAGTGTAGACGTGTGCTTCAACGACAAGTATGGAAGATAAATTTTGGGACTAGAAGATGACGGAGAAGATGTAGTTGAAGTGAATGGAGAGAGAAGGGGAAGTTTGAGGAGAGAGAGTGAGAGAATAGCCATTTCTGATAGCTCAAGTCTGGTCCAAATGAAACTAAAATTTGAGCCATTTTTTTCCGTTTGTTTGTGTGGTGTAGGCTAAATTCTTCAGATATTTGAACGAGAGACACTCTTTTGGTCGCATTGTGTTATACCCACATATATTAAAATAATACAGTAAATTATTTGTTGTATGTATGATGCAATTTCTTTTAATTATTCAAGAAGTACTGATCTCTTGTTTTTCATTGAGCAAGAAAATTTTTTCACATTTTTTACGGTAACCATTAAATCTAATGGCCACTTACTAAACCCACTTATAACTTTCCTTTTAATACAAAATCATTATCACTATTTATAATTTTTAAATTTAATATTTATCAATATAATTAATTATAACAATAAAAGGTTAGTATTAAAAAAATAAAAATAGAAATCTCTTCAGCTCTCGAAATCATGTCTCACCATTAATTGGAATTTTTTTTTTTCTATAAATTTTTTTTATAAGTATTAGAAAATTGCATTCATGACTTGATATTAAAGTTGACATTGTCTATCTGAGTGTAAGAAAGAAATTAAAAATTACATTATTGACATACAAAACAATGAAACATTGACTAAAAAATTAAAAATAAAATCTCTATTTTTTTATCTACTTGATCAATTTAATGTAATGTGTGATTTGCATTACACTTCACTAATAAAAAAAATTAATACATTACAATTTAAATTATTGTATACCTTCCTAAATGCATGCTATTTAAAAATTAGAAATTCAATTTATTTTTTTCTTTGTCACAAATTTTAACTAGTTGTAAACACATTCCAATTACTTATCTGTCGTAATAAATTGCACAATATATTTTTTCTAGTTTTACTATAATAATAAAAATTTATTGACGTAATGAGAAGATTCACGACAAAATATACTATTATTCTATGAAATTTTAAATTTTCTTTGTAAATTAGTTATTTTTCTTAATATTTTCTTTAATATTGTTATTATTATACTATCATTATTTTTATTTTTTTAGTACTTATATTTTATTGTTATAATTAATTGTATTAGTAAATATTAAATTTAAAAATTAAAAATAATGATAGTGGTTTTATATTAAAAGGAAAACATATAGGTGAGTTTAGAATGTGACTATTAGATTGACGGTAAAATATGCGGAATAATTTTCTTGCTCCATGAAGATCACTACTCTTCTTTCAAGATACATACATTTTATTTTTGAACATATTGCTATAATATAACCACCATGTCGTGGTAGTACGTAAGCAAACATTGACATAATTTTTCAACAAATTACTCACCTAATAAGTGTGATTAAGATAAATGGTCTGTCTCTGCTCAGAGACAAGAATAAAACTTGTACGCTAACGACTACAAAGTACAAACCCACGAAAACACGTAATAAAAGCTTATCTTTTCAAGAATACTACTATTTCATTTTCATTACCAAATTTATCAGAAACAGTGCTGAGAACAGTAACCATGCATTATCATAGATGCTATGCTTTCATATCATCGGATATCATTGCCGAGCGATCCGATTAATGCTATGTTTGGGAGTACTGAATTTACGACTTAAATTTGAAATTGAAAAAAAAATGACTTTAAATTTTAAATAATTTTCTTCCAATTTTAAATTCATACTGAAAATTTGGTGTTCACATACACATTATAAAACTCTTCATGTATCCTTGACACTAAATTCCATTCTTTGCCGATGGAAAAATAAGGGGGATGACGGGTAGTTAAGACTTGCAAGGCAATAATTTTTCTTTTTGGTGGAAAATATAGTAATGAAATTGACCAATTTATGATGTTGTTCCAATAGAAACCATGATCTTAAAATTACCTAAATGCATGGTGACTAGATTTGGTGAAATTTGTATTTGGTTTGCTATAATTTATTCTAATGTGATAATCTTGAAATCTTAAAATATAGTGAATTTTGTATCATGTACACAGGCTAACAATGAAACAATTCGGGTTTGCTTGGTTTGTAATTCTGAAACAGAAAATTAAAAATAAAAAAATGTACAAAAAAATTTTTGTTTGATTCAGTTTCTTAAAACTATTTTCTGAAAATTTTGTTGGCTTGTTTGGTTTGTAACTATAGAAATAGTTTTTTTTAAATCTGCTTAGTTCAGTTTTCTGAAAACTCAGTTATAAAAATGCATGTTTTCAAATACTATAAAAGATTGCTTTCTGAGAACAGTTTTCTGTTTTCTGAATTTTTTAAAACTGTTTTCAGATTTACAAACCAAGTAAGCCGATCAAAAAAATTAGTTATAAGGGCATGTTTGGTTTGTAACTTTAAAAATAGTTCTCAGAAATTCAAAAAATAGATAACAGTTTTCAGAAAATTATAAAAGACTGTTATCTGAAACAGACATTTTTATAATTAAATTTTCATAGAACTGAATTTAGCAGAATTTATATAGTTACGAATCAAGTGTTTTTAGAAAACAATTTTCTGTTTTCAGAATTCTCGAGAATTATTTTCAAAGTTATAAACCAAATAGGCCGTTCGAATTTCTATATTGGATTAAAAATTCAACTATTTCAGAGATCAAATTAAAATTGTGTATTAGTTGAAAAACATGACTGAATGCTGAGAAAAACATGTAGGAAAGAAATCATGAAGTAAATTTGCTATGCTCGTCGTACTGTAAAATCTTTCAACATGTAAAGTTATTATGGGAATGTGCTCAGAATGAGTGGATCCTACGTTCGTTAGATTGACTACAATGAGAGTTCCTTTACAACCGAAAAAAAATAAAAATAAAAATAAAAAAATCCACTCTTGTTTGTAACTGAAAAGGCCATTTTAAATGGTTAAATTAAAATAATCCATCATAAATCTAAAAAAATTCAACCACCTTAAAGAAGGGTGTGGACAGCCCCACTCCCCTCATGTGGTTGATTGTCGGTAAGATTGCTCCAAAGACATAAACATAGACATGGTAGGATAGACTTCACTCCAAATTAAAGTTTTTTTTTTTTTTTTCCCTAGTTAATTAAAGTATTTTTGGTAGGATAGGATTGAAAATTATGGAACACAAGCTAGTCTCTAAAGTACAAATTTGGGTCCGCTACAAAACACCACAAGTATTGTACTGCATTTACTGGTGGCGGTAGATGCATTCCCTCCCCCTCAAGCTCATGTTGCAAAAGCAAGAGACAAGCGAGCAGAGTGAGCGTGAGTCCCGGCATGAGCAAGTGGTGGCTTATTGAATGTGTGTGGCCTACTACTCACATGCCTTGTTTTTGAACTTAAGGCCATATTTGAGGCGTTCCTATGTCCCTCTGACCCACATTTCACCGGCTGCGGCCCCACGCTCACCGCCTTCTCGTGCCGACAGCTCAACAACCCTCCATTCCCTCTCCTCTTACTGTCATCGCCACTGCCACATTCTCCGCCGCCACGACTGCCATACATTGTGATTGTTCCACCAACAACACCCCGTGTAGCCGGGATGTCTTCGAATTCAGAAGCACTGACGGAGAAGTTAGTGACACTTGCTCGGTCGAACCCCTCGGCTGTGGTCACACTCCAGTCAATGCTGGCCTCACTTGGCTCATAACATTCTGTGGGCTCAATGGAGGGAGTCATGGGCTCATCCAGACTCCTCCTGCAATACAACCCACCACTACTACTACTTCCTCCCAGCCTTCTTGCATTGAAATTGGATGCTTCGTCCAGCGAATCACGCCGGCGATACATAGGGTAAGCTGTGGTCTGAGTCGAGAAGCTCTCAATCTCGAACAAGTCTGAGCTTGCATTGCTGGCAACATCATCGTCTATAGCGCTCACCCGGGACGTCGGGCTTACTGGAAACCCGAAACTGTGACGGTCTCTGGCACCACCGGGATGAGACTTGTTGGGAATGGTTTCATCTAGTGGGTGAAAAACCTCCAATGACTCACGAGGTGGGTCTTCCAAATTAGGACTAATTGGTGGAGCTGATGAGCCCTTTAGTACCAATTTCACTGGAGAAGTTGGGTTCAGAATTGGAAACGAAAACCCCCCTGTACCTTCAGTGAATGATCTTCCTGGCCTCAACACTCTCTCCTGAGCAATCTCTGATGCAAAATGAAATCTGTCAGGATTTGGAATTTCTCTCTCATATGATCCTTTAACCAAGCATTGATCATATGGGATTGAGCTATTCTGGGACTTGATTGATTCTTTTTTCTCTGCCAAGATTTGATGATCAACTGACTTTGGGCTGTGTCTTTTGGTACATGAACTGTCAACACCATTTGAGGTTCTGGATGACAGATTTTCTTCAACTTGAACTGATTTCTTGCCAGCACAGGGACATTTTCGCCCAAAATTGAGCCATTTTGAAGCAGTAGATGATAGTGTTCTTCTCTGATCATGATCATGACCAGGAAGGTTTCTCAATGAAACTGGAACAGAGCCAGGTGGGTTCGACAACAGACCGGTCTGGCTGTTCCAGCTGGCTTCGGATGAAGCAGTGGGTGTGGCATGGAAGGAGCGAGCTCGGTAGTTCCTCCGGTACCCATCAACCGACGAAGCCGAGGAGAGTCGAGGCAGCGCAGACGGATGGCATTGCTGCTGCTCAGCATTTTTGAAATCTGCTAGAGAAACTACTCTGTTGTTGTTGTTCTCTTTTTGATCATTGCTTTCGTTGAAGTATTTCTGGGCATCGAAAATGCTTAGCTCGGAGTCATCTGCTTTGGGCTCCTCTGGTGTGACATAGGACCCAAAAGATGCATTTCTCAGGTTGTTGTTGTTGTTGTTCTTTTGAGCGAAGGATATGAAATGAAGGGAAGTCTCCATTTCTCAAATATTCAAGAATTGGTTCTGAATTTTTTTTGGTGCTACAACTGGTTTATGTAGAGTTGGTGGGTTGGGGAATTGAACTTGCCAAACATGTACCATTTATTTAGTATTGGAAAAGTTGTGAATAATTTGTCGAGTTTACATTAAGATAGCAATGGTTCCACAACTATTAAGGGCCCAATGAACTGTACATTTGGACAAGAGGGGAGTGTTTGGGGACCCAGAAAGAGGTGTGTCACGTCCCCAATAAGATATTCTAAAGAATGATGATGAAGAAATCATGAGATAAAAGCAAGCTTGTAGATGGGGACTTTTCATTTCCTCAGGTAAATTTGGGCATCACTATGCTTCCTACCAAGTCAAGAGAAACGTTAAGAGTCTTTTAGAAACACAGTGCCACAAGTGCGTCTGACTAAACTACCAACGAACACTAGTCGGTCTAGATGCCGCTATTGAGTGTTCAAGTTCCGATAGGGACCAAATATAGTGTGTCCATTAATTAATTCCTTATAAGGAAATGAGATTGGTAGTCTGATACGAAGTTATAAGGAAATGAGATTGGTAGTGATCCGAAGCATTGGAATATTACTACTGTCTCAGGTAACATGCATTGTTGTCTGTTTCCAACTAAACTTGTTAGATTGATTTCACTCCACAAAATTTCTCATGTAAAGTTTATTTTCTAATTTTTTATTTTTCAATTGTCTGAGCTCACAAGCAAAGGTTGGTAGAATAATCATATGAAGTTCTTCCTGGTGGATCCACTTTAATCTAAAAGCCCATGATAGAGGAAAGGCCGTAATCTTTTTAGCTACTACTACAAACTCACTTCCACACACATCATCACCTTGTCTTATCATAATTAATCAAGATTCCCAAACTGAACATCTCGTTGAAAACTTATATTTATAGACATACATATAAATTTGTACATGTATATATATATATATGCATGTGGCCATTTGTATATGCCATATACGTACATATATATAGATATACACACACACAGTATACACATACACATGACTATATTTTGGGCATATGTTTTTTTGAGTGCATTTATGGGGGAAGATTTGTAAGCTATTTTCTAGTTTTTCTAAGCTGTTTTTGATTTCTTAAAAGATTGTGTTACTTGTGCAAGTCATTTTTCAATCAATCCAGTGCTGAGCTGAAAATATTTAGTATGAAAAATTTTTTAAAAAAAAAACAGAGTGGTGGTGCCAATTTTGAGTATATGAAAGAAGTGAAACTGATATTATATGTATTGTACTATTATTCTGAATATGAAAATCTATTATTACCTTTGTGTTTTGCAAGTATTTTCTCATGATTTTCATTACTAAAACTTGGAGCATTGCTCTTTGAAAAGGGTAAGAAAAATACTCCCGAAATATTTTTTAAAAAAATTAAAATCTTGGGGTCTTTATTTGTATTATTGTATCATCATAATTCATAGAGAAGTCCCATCCTCTCTTGTTGTGATTATGAATAATAATACACATGCTTGCCCTTCCTTTTATGGACAGCCATTTGATGATAATGATAAAAGAGATGTCATCATACATCTATCTCTATCTTTTTAATGAAATGAAATGAAATCTCTCTTAAAAATATGTCTAGGTTCTTCCCTTGTTTGGGTTCTTCGTACGAAAAATGTTGTTGTTCATGTGTTGAGCAAGAACGCTTTGTTTGCTGGGTATGGTGATTTAGAATGGAGCATTTGGCCTCCATGGCTTTTGGATGTTCTCCATCTAGAATGTATTTCTTCTTCTATTTAATCTATTTTGCTTGTTGGTATCAAAATATATATATATATATATATATATATATATGAAAAGGCATTCTCCCACTCAGGGGCGGAGCTAACATGTGCCCGGGGGCAGCCCTCGTGCTGCCCCACTAAATTTTTTTTTTATACCTAAATTTGTAGAAATTAATAAAATGTCCCCCCTTAAAATTAATAAAATGACCCATCTGCCCCTGAATTTACTATATTTTATTTTATTTTATGCATATAATTTGTAAATATTTATAAAATACGCCCATAAAATTTATAAATTATTCTCCATAAAATTATCTATTTCTAAAAACGTCTTTAATTATTTATTCCTTTTCCTTCTTATTCTTCAAATTTCTTTTTATTGTCTTCAAAAACTTTTGCATTATCTTGATACAATTAAAACCTATTTTTTCTTCAAAATTTCATTTTCTTCTTAAAAATTTATTTTTTCTTGCACTCATGCATAATTTATGTGCAATAACCTTCTCTTCTTCTTTTTTTTTTTTTTTCTCTCTCTCTCTTCTGATTAATTTTTTATTCACTTATTATAATGCATTGATATTATGTTATTATATTTTTGACCGAGAAAAAAAAAAAAAAAAATTTATTTTTATCAATGTTAACATGTCCCCTTAACAAAACTCCTAACTCCGCCCCACCCCTACCTCAATTCTTTTTGGTTTGTCTATAACTTCTCTATTATTAATTTGGTGAGTGATTGAAGTTTGCTTAAATTAGGCTATGAGTAGGATGTGAGGTGGGAGGGTCCCTTTCATTTTGACATTTAGGAAATATTGATTGAAATATTGATTGGTTTAATTATAGTGGCAGTGACCATTCCATCTTTTTTATTGGTAAGCATGTGGTGTGGGGCATCAATCGCCTATGGTTGCCGTTCCAACTTGCTGGACTTTGTCCCATGGCTGCTCCAAAGAAGCCAGAAATATACAATTTTTTGAAAATAATTTTAGAAAAATAAGAAGAAGAAGAAGTAGTAGTTGAAGTAAAAGTGTATTAGATTATATTACAAGGTTCAATTCAATGTAAAAAAAAATTGGATGAGTGTATATTGTATATGTCCGTATTAAAAGAAATAGAGATCGTTTATTGTATAACAAAGAAAACCTATTACTGAACCGTATCGGTCTTTCTAATGAATTGTCAATTTGTCATCTGTTTCAGGCATCATCTTCCACGTCTAGTGTTTAAAGCCATCTGTTACTGGGTTCGGGCTGTGTGTCCTACATAACCAGTGTAGGTTGACTGAACTAAGACACAGAAAATTAATTTTTATTGGGAAGACGTCTGAGCTTCACTAACAACCAAATTGAGCCATGAAAGTGAGAGAGAAGACGTCTGAACCTGACAAGGACTCATGAAACTGTAACACAGAGATTGGAAGCATGTTGAATATTCCAAGTAGATACGGAAAATATTTGAATGATCTAAAAATCTCACTGTAGATATAGAAAAGATTCCATTCTATAATGGAAGATTGTTTTTACTAATACAATATTGGATTCAACATTTTGTTGAATATGAATATTTTTAAAATATACCGTAATATGTTTTCTTGATTAATAGAGGTGGAAAACGATTGAAATAAATTACTGAAATAAGAGAGGCTAGAATATTCATATTGAACTAACGGGCAGTAGCTTAGGAGTATCAACCTCTTTCTCTTTCTTCTCAAAGAGAAGTCAGGAGTTTAAGTCTCAGAAGAGACAAATGTGTGTGAGTACTAACTAAAAGAAATATATATATATATATATATATATATATATATATTCATATTGAAGCATTTGAATTTAATCAAAAAAGTGAAAAGAAGTAAAAAAATAAGTGAAAAATTAAATATGTCAAAGATAAAACAGAAGTCAAAGGAAAAAAAACAAAGAAGTTATACAAGAAGTATAGCCTTAAAGAAATTATTTACACTAAGTGAAATTCAAACTTTAAACCCTATATTTTGTGAGGCACTAAAGCCAAGTGACTTTACTTCCAGAATTCTCCAGAAGTTTGAGTTATAGTTGAAGCAACACATTCAATTTTTTCTTTTTCCATTTTTTGGAGATGGAAGAATGTTCTGTTGCATTGGGCCATAGAAGATTTGCAAGTAGTACAAGATGGCTAGACATCTACTCAGGCCCACTAGTTGAGATGGATAAACATATAGTCAGGCCCACTAGTCTTACCGACTTAAATGACGGCATGCTTTGAAAGCCACAAACTAAATGAATGTGGGACCATATTCCACACATTAAATAAAGCCGTTCAAGTGGTCGGTTATAATAGGTTACTTTGAACATCATTTTTCATATAAAAAAAATTTATTTGGGCCATGAAAATCAGAATATATATAGTCAGCTTCATTGTTTGATCCAGATAAAATGGGCTTTTTAATTTTGTGACACCAAGGGACAATATTTGGGCCTCAGTGTAGAGACACCCGCAAGCTTTTTTTTTTTTTTTTTCGAAATTTTAAGCTATTGACATAAATTATAATAGTATTTACAATAGTGGGCCTTAGGCCATAACAAGTGAGAGACAACAGGCCCAAAGGCAAAGCATGTCATACATTGGCGTGTAGTATACCCGCCCTCAAACTTGTTTTTGTTTCAATATATACCAAGTATTACTTTGGCATGCATAATAATATAGCAATTAGGGAAAATGATACTTTGGTTAGGCCTACCATTTTAGTCCAATTCTTATATCCAAGTATCATCTCTTGTTTTTTCTCTCTATAACAACCAATGGTTATGTTATTTTTTACCTTACTTCGGCCTATGTATCACAATTTTAATAGTTTATAGTATTACTATTCTCTTTTTTTTCATAATAACTACTGGAGGTCGTCAATTACCAACTCTGATGATGAAATTTTTTTCATTACGTTCATTGCATCGTGCAACGAGGACAGTTAGACCGTTTGTGTAATATATATGTCAACGCGTGTATTATACGCATAATATGACGGTTGAATAAACATTGTACAATTCAACAGACCTAACAAAATTTTTCTTTTTAGTGATTAGTTGAAAATCAATCACAACATCCAAAACAATTTTTGTGATTTAGTTTCAACCAATCACAACATTTGTGAAATAAAAATTTTAAAAAAATGTTCTCCCGAGGCTATAATTGATTCTTATTCTAATCATGGTATCTACCAACTTCATTCATCTCTTTATGACTGCAATTAAAAAAAAAAAAAAAAACACACACACACACACACGCAAAAGAAGCAACCCTTTCCCAGCAAGTTTTTGAAGCATCCAAAAACTAATGCACCAAATTACTTCTTAATGGGAACCCCCCTACAAGTACTCAAAAATTCTCGAGTTTTGATGTTCATACAAGTGTTAGTGTCTTCAGATTTAAAGCTGAAAATAAATTAAAGGAGATTTTTTCATTTCCTTTCATGTCCTTCCCTACCAATTCAAACACTTTGAAAAGTTTCAGCTTTAATAGTATTCAAGAATAAATAAAGAATCCAAAACCCACTGAAAATTATAAATAGAGATAATGATGATGTAATTTCAATCTTCATTTGTAATTACAAACTGAGTTTTCATGTTTGCTTAGTCGGTGGGATTTTATTTTTATATTGAAATTAGTAAGAAAATTCAAATAGTCAAAGACCATCAAAATCCACCCACCAACCAATATCAAAAAATCATTCAAAATTAGTAATAAATATTGAAAACCAGCTAAATTTATTGTAGTAACGTTTGGAAATGGGAACACTCGAATTTGAAGATGATCTTTAAATTAAAAATTGCATTAAATGATAATCAATTGGATTAAGAGCCCATCCCATCTTGGGGAGAAAGCTGAGATCAGAATAAACTCACCATCCATCCATCCCAGAAAGGAATGATTACCTTTTTCTTTAAAATATAATACTATCATTCTTTGTATGAACATGATTATATAGGTTGGGCCTCACAAGAGTGTCTAATGACTTCAACATTAGCTGTTAGGTTCAACAGTAATTAATATTTTAATAACACTAATACAATCATTATTGACTAATCAACGGCCCATATTGAGATTTATCATGAGATTACCCTGAACTTGGATTAGGCAGCTAATCCTTAGAAAACAGTGAGAGTAGAGTGAGAAACAACCTTTTTTTTACTTTCCCTCACTTTTTCTCTTTTTTTGGGTACCGCCCCACCATGTTCCTTTCAATTTCTCTCTACAATTCAACACCAAAACACGCACACACGTAGTGACAACGCAGCATCCAAAGCTGTTGCTGAGCCAAAAAGAAAGAAAAGAAGAATTGGGGGAAAAAGCAGAGGACTTTCGGTTCCCTCATATGCTCATCTCTACACCAATCTGGTAAGTCACTTCTCTCAAATACTATTTTTTTCATTCTCTGATTTTCTCTCAGAACATTTCAAGTGTAACCAACCTATCACTTCATAGTACCAGTTTTCTTCTCTTTTGCTTTTCAGATATTGAATTTGGTTATCATCATCATTCATTCATGTTCAACTGGTTTATTAAGGTGCGTTTCTGTTGAATTCAATTATAATTTCATTTAACTGTGTATTTTATTGTAATTGATTTGAATTTATACAGTGGGTTTTGGGTTATTTCTGAATTGATTTTCATACCAAGCAGATTGGAAATTTTTTTGAGTGACAGAAGGAAGAGAGACAAATGGGTGTTGGGTTGCTGGATATTGGAGTTCAAATCCAGAAATTTATGGTCTTTGCGTTCAGAAGATGTTATAGATCAGTTTGTAATCATCCATTCCTTGTAGGTTTGGTGTTATTCTTGATTTTCCTGTACAGATCATTTCCTTTTTTGTTTTCCCTTTTCGTCTCTGCCTCCCCTGTTCTTGTTTGCACTGCTGTTCTCCTTGGAACCCTTTTGAGCTTTGGGCAGTCGAATATACCTGAAATCGAGAAGGAAGAAGAGAGAATCCATGAGATTTTGTCTTTGAAAACTGGGGTTTCAAGCGATGCTGTTGTTGTTGAGAGAGATGAGAGCTTTGATATAGAGAGGTACACTGATAAGAGAAGGGATGTAGTTGAGAAGTCCATTCAGGAAGCAAGTTCCACATCGAGTAAGGTCAGTGAACTTGACAGAGATGATAACAGTTTTCTTGAGAGCTCGCCGTTGATCCAGGAGAATTCCCGGGAAATTCAATTTGAGAAGCGGGTGATTGAGGAAGAGGAGAGAGAATTACTTGATTCGGGATATGAAAAGAAGAGTGAAGTTAATGAAGAGAGCCCACGCCATGGGGAAGTTGTTGAGAATCAATACTCCCTGATTCATGAGGTTAGGGGGGAAGTTGTTGAGAATCAATACTCCCTGATTCATGAAGTTAGGGATGAAATAGTTAATGGTGAAAATGACAAATCATCAGTGGAATATGTCGATTCTCGCATGGCTGGTGACTTCGATTCTTCTCAAATTCCCCCTTGGAGACAAGTGGAGGCGGCAGATCATGATGATGAGGCTTCGGATTATGGGTCTGATGATGCAGAGAGTTCCTCTCCTGACGCTTCAATGGCTGACATCATTCCAATGCTTGATGAGCTCCACCCACTTTTAGATGAAGACGCTACTCAGCCTGGTCACAAGTCCCATAGTGACTCTGATGCCGCTTCTGAGCGGTCTCAGAAATCCAGTGACAGCATTAATGAGTTAGATGCGGATGCTGAAAACCAAGAAGAGGAAGAAGTTGGTGATGACGACGACGAAGAGGAAGACGCGCAGGGGGGAAAAGAGGATGCAGTTACATGGACAGAGGATGACCAAAAGAATCTCATGGATTTAGGAACTTCTGAGCTGGAAAGGAACCAACGTTTGGAGAATCTTATTGCTAGGAGAAGGGCAAGGAAAGATTTGAGGATGATGGCTGAGAAGAACTTGATAGACTTGGATAGTTCTGACCTTCCGTTTAATATTGCACCCATTTCAATAACAAGACGCAACCCTTTTGATCTTCCTTATGACTCCAATGACAACATGGGATTACCGCCCATTCCTGGATCTGCTCCATCTATTCTATTACCAAGACGAAACCCTTTCGATCTTCCTTATGACTCAAGTGAAGAGAAACCTGATCTCACGGAAGACAGTTTTCAAGAAGAGTACAAGACATTTCATCAAAAGGAGACTCTTTTCCGGAGGCATGAAAGTTTTAGCGTGGGACCATCATTATTTGGGCCTCACAAGCAGGAGAAGCAAGGTAGCAGGTTAAGACCTTATTTTGTACCAGAACGAATGGCTTCAGAAAGAACAAGCTTTTCTTACTTTCAGAGACAATCAAGTGAACTTAGTGAGTCCCAGGTGAGCTCCATTCCTGAAACAGAATCAATGTGTTCAGCCGGTGGTCAGGAAGTGGAGTTGATCTCCAGCACAGAGCATGTTTACGAGCTTGTTAAAGATGGAAGTGAATCCTCTGAAGAGTTAGATACTGCAGAGTTTGGTCAATCTGAGAAGAAAGATGATGTACTCGGTGAGGTTGAAATTAAATTGGGGGGACTGGAATATTATCATGAAATGGAATCGAGCTTATCAGTAACAGGAGATGTAGCAACTCCCATGGAACACGACACAGGTGGAATTCATCTGAATACAGGAGCAGCTGACAGCATTCAATCAAGCATATCATTGTTATCAGAAGTTAATGGAAAGGTCTTTGATGAGAAAGAAGATGAAGGGTTATCAATTGTGGAGCCAAGAAAAGGCAATGTTATTGAAGAGTCTGGCATTTCAATGCAACCTTCTTTAGAAGAGTCGGGTTTCAACTTTACAAATCGGTTGGTGGATGATAGTCAGCATAAGGAGCCTGTTTATGATTTAAGCCCGACAGGATTTGGGAAGAAACTCTCTTCTTCCTCCGTTTCTTCTGAACTGCAAGTTGAGATACCCGAAACGGGCTTGCCAGCAGTGTTGGATAAAAGAACCATTCCTTTTGCAGATAGAGATTCTGGAGTAAGTAACCAGAGCATTGAAAAGGACACTCCTATCAGCGAAAAGATGTTTGAAGGCTCATCACATTTGCATGCAGTGGATGAAAATGAGTTGGAATTGAGAGAAGTTACAGAGATAAGTGAGCATGATGTTATGAATTTTGGGTTCGCACTTGTTGACCGAGATGTTGACAGTGAAAATGCATCGATATTGCCTGACCTTGTTTTCGAGCATGCTTCAAATAATCCAAAACCATCTAAATTTGTGGAGGATCATTTTATGTATCAGGATGACAATCATCAGCATGAACAGAATGAGGTTGCCTCATCAATCTTTGACACAGATATACACGTAGTGGTCCAGCAAGATGTGGGTGAAAAGGTGGATTCCGTGGATTTAAGTTCTCAGTATAAGTTGTCTGGGGATCTAAATTTATTTGCACCTGAGGACGACCAAGCCTCATGGAGTGTTGAGCAACTTTCAGGGATTTATCCCTCTACATCTTCTGAGACTGAACTAATAGTGGAGCGCTCAATTGATAAGGAAGTAGCTCTTCAGTTTGAACAATATCAAGTCCACTCATCAAGCTCTGATGCAAATTTCCTTGTTGACATCCACCATGAAGCAGATGATAGGCTGGTTTCTACACATTATCAATATGTTCCTGAGAAAAGCTCTGTGTTGGAATTGGAGAAACAGATGTCTTCGTCGAATAAGTCTATGGTTCAGTTGTCTTCCGACACTCATGAAGAACAGCAGGTAAGTCATGAAACTATAGAGTGTGAGTTGTTTTTATAATATTCAGATTTGTTATGTTCATCCTTTTTCCCTTCTTTTTCTTGCTTCAGTTCTGCCGAAATAGTTACATTTATCACTATTCTTGCAAATTGTCTGTGGTGATGCATATTACAGAATAGGGTAAACAACTTACATGTTCCCTATAGTCTGAAGAAGTTACATTAATGCCCTTCATGTTGAGAGTCAATTGGAGACACCTATAGTCTACTAAGAATAGACCATGGATGATGGTACTTCGGCCTTTTGCAGTATGCGAGAGTAAAATAAAGTAAAAGGTAAAGTTAACCAGAATTTTATGTGGAAACCCCCAATGGGGAAAAACCCCTGTACTTAGTTCAGATAGAAGTTATTTAACCATCCTAAAAATAAGTACAACCACAGTACTTCGACTCAATTTTTCACCTGAACACTCAAAAAGACGTGGTTGTTGCAGACACCTTAGATTACCACTTGTTACCACTAGGTGCCTTCAAGCCCAGCTGTTGTGTACCTCAAACCTTACTCTTGTTCCTTCAAGTTTAGCGTTGATCCGTCAATGTGATCGTAATCCAATGATACTCTTTCAATAGTGATTGTCCAACGACCTTCTCCCCACACGATGATGGAATTGTTTGATGGGCTGCTATAACTCTAAGCATACTTTGATGTAGATTGATGAGGCATAGCTTGTTGACATCCGTAATATTTCTTGAGAAAAGTTCAATGTGATCATAATCCAATGATACTCCTTCAATGGTGAATGTCCAACGGCCTTCTCTCCACAGGACAATGGAATTGTTGGATGGGCTATGTGACGACCTCTGTGAACGGGTGTAATGTGGGCAGGTGTGAGACACTGGACGAGCTACCACACTGGCAGGCTACGGGTGTCATGATCCCACATCGCCTAGGGAAGGTGAAGGTGAAGTGCCATATGTACTTTCAACATCTTTCTATGACATAATGCATTTGAAAGTCGTGATGGCTGTGAATCCATCAGAACTCCGCAGTTAAGCGTGCTTATGCAGGAGTAGTATTAGGGTGGGTGACCTCCCGGGATTTCTAGTCTTTTTTCTTTTTTTCTTTTTTTTTTACATGGGGCAAGGAGGGGGAGGGGGTAGATGAGAAAGCTTGAACTTGGCTCCCACACACCAATGGGGAGATGCCCACCACTAGGCTTCCAAGGCCTTCTAGTTTTGGGGAGCCAAAAGTGGACAATATTGTGTTGAGTAGGGTGAGGGCTGTTGTAAATAGCATCAAAGCCAGAACCCAGCCGGAAGTGTGGCCAACGAGAACGTTTGGCCCCGTGGGGGGTGATTATGACAACCTCTATAGGCGGGTGCGAGAAACTGGGCGAGCTACTACACTGGCAAGCTACGGCTATCATGATCCCACTTTGCCCGGGGAAGGTGAAGGTGAAGTGCTATATGTAGGTTCAATACCCTTCTATGATACAACGCGTTTTAAAGCCATGATCTATGTTACATGTATTCGGACACGGGTATGTATCTATGTGTCGGACATGTCAAATCTCCAAACAGAAGGACACACGGACACGGCTAAATTTTTTTTTTTTTTATAAGTAAAATGTATTAAAGGCGTTCAAAAGGGGAATGCGTCCCAAGCTATACAAAAATAAAGCGGAACCTATGATCTCAAAAAGCCCAAAAGGTCCACAATATCCTCAATAGAGGAAAAATCTCTCCCCCAACCCCAACAAAAAAGAAATAGAAAATTTCAACACCCCAATGGAGGACTCCTTCCCATCAAAAAATCTTCTATTTCGCTCTTTCCAAATGCTCCACCAAACACAAAAAAAGGGTTACCCTCCAGAAGACTCTCGCCTGAGCCCCTACCCATTGGCCCCTCCAAATATCCAGCAATTCCCGAGAAGTCTGAGGCATGACCCAATGAATACCAAACAGACCAAAAATGATACTCCAACAATCATGAGCCACAAGACAATGCAGCAACAGGTGATCCACTGACTCCCCATTCAACTTACAAAGACAACACCGATTAACAATAACATGTCTTCGCTTCCTCAAGTTGTCCAAAGTCAAAATCTTACTCCAAGCTGCAGTCTACACAAAAAAGGCCTCCCTAAGAGGCGCCTTGGACAACCACACCTTCTTCCACGGGAAGGTAACGCCATGAAAACCAGAGATGCACACAAAAAAAGACCGGACCTGGAACATCCCCAAAGTAGAAGGCACCCAAATCAGGGAGTCAACACCAGTGCCCTCCACCTCCTGTTTATACAAGAGAGCCAACAAGCCAGTGAAATTATCCAACTCCCAATCTTGAAAAGATCGTCGGAATCGCATATCCCAAGACAACCTCCCACTATCAAGGCGATAGCAGTTTGCAACCATAGCATGTTTGTCAACAGCAATCCTGAACAGCCTTGGAAACAAAAGAGCCAAAGGCCTATCCTCGCACCAAGGATCCTCCCAAAACTGGACAAACCTTCCATCCCGAACTCTGAATCTAACATGTTTGGAAAACTCGTCCCATCCTTTTCCAATGGCCCTCCACACCCCCACTTAACTAGCAGACCTGACTGGCCTAGCTGACCACCCCCCTCTCTCCTCCCCAAAGCGACAAGAAATAACCCTTCTCCATAATCTATGCCTTTCACTGCCGAATCTCCAAAGCCACTTACCAAGGAGAGTACTGTTAAAGGGGGCCAATCTCCTAATCCCAAGCCCGCCCAACTGAAATGGCCTGCAAACCTGCTCCCATCTAACAAGATAATACTTAAACTCCTCTCCACGACCCCCCCAAAGGAAGTTTCGTTGAAGCATCTCAAGACGTCCAACAACCGAGGCTGGAACCCAAAAAAGCGAAAGAAAATACGTTGCGAGGCTTAACAAGATACTTTTCACTAACGTAACTTTACCACCCTTGGAGAGATATTGTTTTTTCCAACAGCTAATCTTCTCTCGACCCTCTTAATCACCGGGTCCCAACTTCCCACCCTCCTGGCCGAGTCCCCCAGCGGCAAACCCAAATACGAGATAGGGAAGCGTTGCATCCCACACCCTAAAACAGCAGCCAGAGTGTCCACCTCTTGAACCTCCCCCACAAGGACAAGCACACTCTTGCCCACATTGACTTTCAAACCAGAGACGGCCTGAAAGCAAGCCAAGACACATCTCAGATACCTCAACTGGGGACACCTCTGTCTCGCAAAAAACAATAATGTCATCTGCAAAGAGCAAGTGAGAAATCTCCATCTGCTGAACGGAGTCGGGGCCGATCTTGAAGCCCCTGATAAAACCCAAGTCCACCGCCCTTCTCATCAACCTACTAAGAGCCTCCATAACAATAATAAAAAGGAACGGGGAAAGAAGGTCCCCCTGCCTCAGACCGCGAGAACTGCCGAAAAACCCCGTAGGAGACCCATTCACCAACACCGAAAATCTGAGAGTGGAAACACAAAACAATCCATTTCCTCCATCTGTCACCAAAGCCTATCCTCTCCAACAGGTAGAACAGGAAATTCCAGTAGACATGATCATAAGCTTTCTCGATATCCAGCTTACAAAGAACACCAAGAGCCTCACTACACAATCTAGAATCCACACATTCACTGGCAATAAGAGCGGAATCCAGATCTGTCTACCCCCAATGAAAGCATTCTGAGACTCAAACATAACTCCATCCAAAACCTCCCTCAATCGAAACGCAAGTACTTTTGCGATAAGCTTGTAAATGCACCCAATCAGACTGATTGGTCGAAAATCCTTAATGTTAGACGCACCACCCTTCTTAGGTATAAGGGCAATAAAAGATGTGTTCAGTGATTTCTCAAACCGCCCCGTGGAATGAAACTCATGAAAAGTGCCCAAAACCTCGTACCGGACCACCTCCCAGCTCTCCAACAGAAATCTCATAGTAAAGCCATCCGGGCCTAGAGCCTTATCACCATTACAGCTCTTAAGAGCCTTCAGCACCGCTTCCTCCGAAAAAGGACTTTCCAATCCATCTCTTTCCAAGGCAGAAATAGAATCAAAGTGAAGATCATCAAGACATGGCCTCCGTTGAAGAGGCTCAGAATAAAACTTTTGGTAGAAAGAGACAATACCGCTACGCACCTCCTTCTCCGTAGTCAAAACCGCACCATCCACACACATCCGCCCAATGTGATTATTCCTCCTATAAGCATTAGCAGTTCTATGGAAAAACTTGGAATTCCGATCTCCCTCTTTGAGCCACAAGACCCGAGATTTCTGGCGCCACAAAATTTCCTCCAAAACTGCAATTTCCACACATTCTGCCTGACAAGTTGCTCTCCTACTGCGTTGAGATTCAGAAAGAACACCCTCCCCTTCTAGTCTATCAATCTCAGCAATATCAGCCAAAGCCCTATTCTTCCTCCACTCCAAACTCCCAAAAACCTCCTTATTCCACCACCTGTGATTATTTTTCAGAATTCAAAGCAAGAATAAAATTCGACGTACCCACCACCAGGTTCTCCTCCCACCAAGAATGCACAAGTCCCTGGAAGTTATCCGCACGAAGCCACATATTCTCAAATCTGAAAGGAGTGCTATGAGATCTCAACCCTCCATAGTCTAAAACCAAGGGAATGTGGTCCAACGTCACCCTAGCCAACACAGCCTGAATAACATCCGGAAACTTCTCTTCCCAGTCACCGGAAATCAAAAATCTATCAAGGCGAGAGAAAGTTGGTGCTTCCCTTCCACTGGATCAAATGAAAGAAGCTTCCTCAAGAGGAAGATCAATAAGCTGATGACCATCAATAAAGTCAGAAAAGTGCATCATAGCCTAAGTCCACGGACCTCCTGTAGATCTCTCCGCCAGGGACCTAACCACATTAAAATCACTTGCCACACACCAAGGAAGAGACCACCTCCCCTTCACCCCACTCAACTCCTCCCACAAACCATCCCTCACATCATCATTAACCGGCCCATACACCCCAGAAAAACCCCAAGTGAAACCATCCTCCTCCATCTCCATCACAAAGGCACAAGACAGAGAAAAAATCCCCCTAAAAACGTCCACCTTAGCCATACATCTCCTATCCTACATGATAAGAACACCGCCTGAAGTCCCCATATTCATTTTATTAATTATTTTATTTTATTTTCTGGAGTAAAGTAATGTTTTTATCTAATATAATGTTCGATATAGGCATTTAACTCATTTTAAATTAATAATATAGAGTAATAATATAATGTAATTGAATGATTGGATATGTTTTTTAAGTACATGTCCAACCAAAAGTGTCGGACACATATCCCATACCCATGTCCAAGGGATACGTGTCCGACATAGGTACTTCACTACTTTTGAAGAGTCCATGTAACAGAGGCCGTGATGGCCGTGAACCCATCAGAACTCCACAGTTAAGCATGCTTATTCAAGAGTAGTACCGGGATGAGTGACCTCCTGAGAAGTCTGGTCCAGGAGAGCCAAATGCGAACAATGTTGTGTTGGGTATGGTGAGGGTTGTTACAGGCTACTACAACTCTGAGCATACTTTGACGTAGATTGATGAGCACTCACTTTTCTCAAGTGAAGTATATAGGTGTGTGAATTGAAATAACAAAGAAAACAAGAGCACAAAGAAGGTTTAAGCATGAACTCTAAAGCTTTATGAAGAATCTAGGTATTGGTTCTATGTAAAACCATTGTTGCATTCTAATATTAATAGCAATGTCAAACAACTTCAAATTGATTTAGGATACCTTTTCCAACTTCCAAAAGACTTCAGAAATGATTTGGAAAAGAAGTTTCATGAAGTCTGAATCAAATTAGGACTCGTTTTTTGAAAGATAGAAACACTGAATTCTTGTAGACAGATAAAAACTGTACTGGTTCACATAATTTTCAGAACATTGCAAGATGTACGGATACAGAATTATGATGTAGTGGTGCAGTTGTCTCTGGAGTTTGGAGTGAATTTTTATAAAAACATAAGATAGTGTATAAAAACATAACAGTTGCAGAAGTCTAAAGAGTGTACTGGTGCAGGAACATAGTGTACACGGCGCAGAACTCATTGTTTTGCTTCAAAATCCAGAAGATCAATTTAAAACTTTGTCCTAGTTCTTTTCAAAAACCTTGTCTCGTTTAATAAAAAATTGTGAACTAAAAGAATTAATATTTAGTGTCCTCACTCACTCACTCACCTTTGATGTGTGTGAGTACACCAAATGTTCACAAATGCATCATCCTGGAAGCTACTTGGTAGACATGGCTCAACAAAAAATTATATGTGTGTGTGTGTGTGTGTATACAACTTGAAAATTTAGTTTTGGGAATGAGTTTAACAGTATGACATAATGACTTCTGTTACATGGGCTCTTCAAAAGTAGTGAAGTACCCGTGTCGGACATCTATCCCTCGGACATTGGTATGGGATATGTGTCCGACACTTTTGGTTGGACATGTACTTAAAAAGCATATCCAATCATTGAATTACATTATATTATTACTTTAAAATAAGTTAAATGCCTATATTGAACTTTAAATTAGATAAAAACATTACTATACTCTAGAAAATAAAATAAAATAAAATAATTAATAAAATGAATATTTAGCCGGGTTTGTGTGTCCTTTTGTTTGGAGATTTGGCACGTCCAACTCCTGGATACATACCCGTGTCCGACACCCGTACCCTAGTCCATGTAACATAGATAATGACTATAAGGACAACAGACCTAAGTTACGTGTTTTGAGATGGATATGTCATTTTCACAACAACATGGACATGGATTGTCAAACTCAGTAACCTCCTGAAACTTGAAACATAATGGTGTGTTTGTTGAGAGGTTACAGGTATATTTTCATCTTATTAAAATGGGTAAATTACAATCAATAATATACCCTTGTGTAATTTGTCCAAACCTCAGGGTAGGTCGGTGTAATTTACCCTATTAAAATCATAGCTTAAAACATGCAAATGCTAACTATATTATGTCATTAATATAGCATGATGCTCCTGTAGATCTGCACATCTTTTTGTAAATGATTGATGTCTCTTAAAATTGTCTAATAGTAATCAGGCAAAAAATGAACATTGCTGGTGTCAATAGGTCTATGGCACGCAAATTGTGAGTAAATGAGTAGTGTCCACAATATTATCGACTACTGTACTTCTAAAACATTTATGGTTCTTACAGTATCCGCTACATATGCTTGTGTTACTCATAAAATGTCGGTTATACCCATGTGACATGTACAATGTATCTAATATTAATTGTAACACTTTGATTATTTCGTAATTTAATATCATGATATTGGTCATACAGGAATGGAAGTTTTCGTTGGTGTATTTATGGTCACATTTAAGTCATTCATTTAGTAAAATTACTGTTTTTTCTATTAAAAATAAGTATTATTAACCATCCTGGTTCTGATGATCAATCAGGAACCATTGATTATCCAGTTGAAGTCTATTGAGGAAGTAGGTGCTCCCAGCAATTTGAATGTGTCAGAAGTCCAGGAACCCAGTAACAAAGTTCAATCAAATATCTACTCTCCCTTAATTCCTGACACTGCCCCCTTTCCATTTGAAGTTTCTGAAACCAGATCCGCTACAGGTCTAGCCGATTTAAAAGACATCCTTGATGGAATGGAAAATAAGGAACAAATTCAGGTCTCAAAACACTTCAATTATCCAGCAGAAGCAACTGGGTCTTGTGTTGATGAGCAAAATATAATTGAAGAGGCAGATAAGATCAAAGAGATTGACGAAGGATTGCTGTTAGAATTGGATGCAGTTGGTGACTTCAGTGTCAAAGAATTTGGATCAAAATTGAATGACATTGAAAATCACTTGGTTCCTGCTGGAGAGAGGTTTCTTGTGCCGCGTGATCTTGAAACCAAGTATGACGGAACTGTTTGTGACCTTATTGAAGCTGATAAAATTGAGCCTATTGTAGAACCAGAGAACCCAAGTGCATATAGGGCTGAGGAGGAGATCCATCAATATCAAGATGTGGAGGGTGCCTCAGAATTTCAGATGTCTGGGGCAAGCTACACCAAGCATATTGGTTCGCCCGTTGGGGAAAATTTTCACAGAGAAGTCGAGATTCCTATGGATTTCAAATCAGTCAATGATGGATCACTGCAAAAGAAAACTGAAATTGAGCTCGCAGATTCCAAAATGAACCAAATTTCAATTTTAGACGAGATCAGTTCAGGGATTCCTGTTGTTGAAACACAATCAGTTGAAGATATTGATTCCATGTTTTTTAATACTAAAATTGAATTTGGGGAGTCTGAGATACCGCACCAGGATCAAAGTGAAGTAGAGAGCATTTCTGAGACACCAGTTCTTGGAGCAAGGTCTCTTGATGATATCGACTCAGACATTGACCAAATTGATGAAGAAGAAATTAAGCAACCTATTGTTACTGAGTTGCTCCATGCTGAGCAGACACCAGAAGAAACTGAACCCGGGTGTTCTGAACATGGGATTTTGCAGAAAGATTCAAATCTGACAGAAAACAAAATGGAGTTGCCAGTTATTGAGGCAACATCAGTCGAAGATATTGGTTTGGCTTTTAAAAGTCTCCATGAAGACATAGGTATTGAAAGACGCATCCTCCCCAGTTCAGTTGATGATAATCCAGATGTACTCGTATCCAAAGATCCTGCAAAAACAAATTCAGAAATTGAGCTTGGAGAGTCTGAGATGCCCCGCCAGGATCAGATTGGAGTGGAGATCACTTCTGAGATGCCAGTTCTTGAAGCACACTCTCTTGAAGATATTGATTCAGCCTTCAAGCAAATTGGTGAAGAAAAGGGTAAGAAACCTATTGTTACTGAGTCACTCCATGCTGAGCTGACGCGAGAAGAAACTGAACCCGGGTGTTCTGAACATGGGATTTTGCACGAAGATTCAAATCTGACAGAGAACAAAATGGAGTTACCAGTTATTGAGGCAACATCAGTCGAAGATATTGGTTTGGCTTTTAAAAGTCTCCATGACGACATAGATGTTGAGAAACACATTCCCCCCAGTTCGGTTGATGATAATCCATATGTGATCGAATCCAAAGATATTGCAGAAACGAATTCAGAAATTGAGCTTGGAGAGTCTGAGATACCCCACCAGGATCAGATTGAAGTGGAGATCAATTCTGAGATGCCAGTTCTTGAAGCAGGCTCTCTTGAAGATATTGATTCAGCCTTCAAGCAAATTGGTGAAGAAAAAATTAAGAAACCTATTGTTACCGAGTCACTCCATGCTGAGCTGACGCCAGAAGAAACTGAACCTGGGTGTTCTGAACATGGGATTTTGCTCGAAGATTCAAATCTGAAAGAGAACAAAATGGAGTTACCAGTTATTGAGGCAAGATCAGTCGAGGATATTGGTTTGGCTTTTAAAAGTCTCCATGAAGACACAGATGTCGTGAGACACATCCTCCCCAGTTCAGTTGATGATAATCCAGATGTAATCGAATCCAAAGATCCTGCTGAAATGAATTCAGAAATTGAGCTTGGACAGTCTGAGATACCCCACCAGGATCAGATTGAAGTGGAGATCAATTCTGAGATACCAGTTCTTGAAGCACACTCTTTTGAAGATATTGACTCAGCCTTCAAGCAAATTGGCGAAGAAAAAGTTAAGGAACCTATTGTTACTGAGTCACTCCATGCTGAGCTAACAACAGAAGAAACTGAACCCGTGTGTTCTGAACATGGGATTTTGCACCAAGATTCCAATCTGACAGAGAACAATTTGGAGTTACCAGTTATTGAGGCAAGATCAGTTGAAGATATTGGTTTGGCTTTTCAAAAGCGCCGTGAAGACAGAGATGTTGAGAGACACATCCTCCCCAGTTCAGTTGATGATAATCCAGATGTGATCGAATCCAAAGTTCCTGCAGAAATCAGTTCAGATTTGCAAATTGCCGAAGCAAGTTCTTTAGGAGATACCAATATGATTATAAAGCAGGTCGCAGAAGGTAATTTGGAGAAGCCACTGAAATCAGATTCTGAAGGTGGATATGCAAGAACAGAGGCAAATGAAGTAGGTTCCTCCAAGGAAGATGAATCAAGCATTAAAGAATTTGGTGTGCCAGAAACTAGCACATGCGCAGTTCAAACATCTGAAGGTTTAAATTTAAGTATGTCTCATGTCGAAGAAAAGAAAGCTTAAATCTCATGAATCAAGCTGCAGTTCCAGGCTTTCAGCTCCTGCTCATCTCCAGTGGTTCTGATAAACAAGAGGGCAAGATGAGAAACAAAAAATTGGTTTGACTTTTCCTCTTTGGTTTTCCTCCTTTATGGTGAGATTTGTGGTCTTCTGGTTTGGTTAGCAAGTTTGTCTTCGTAATGGTGGGAGGGTATTGTTTGTGTTATTTCGAGATTTTTTTTTTTTTACTGATTGATTCTTCAAGAATGAGTTTTTTTTGTACTTCTTGAAGTGTGAAATTTCCCATTTAGTTATGTTTCTGGGAGTGAGCTGGTTGTGGCATACCTGGAGAAAGGAATGTTTTATTCCTTCCACTTTGTATATCATTTTCTTTTCCCTGTTGTAAAAGTTGCCCTTTAGAGTGTTTCTAAAAACATATTTGTGCAGATCTTTTTTTTTTCCCTCTGAATGTCTTCATCTGTGGAACTGCCTTTTGTGGAAATTCTTTCAATTGATTATACAGAAATCTTTCGCACTTGACAGCTTTTTGTAACTACTCCTGATGATCTGATATAGTTTTCAGTTTCTCTCTTCTGCCTTCTTGCTAAAATTTGTTTTGGTTTCAGGAACGATTAGATTTCTTACAATAGCTCTATATTATCAGAACATTAAAAACAGAAAACAACATAAAACAGTTTAAAAATCGTTCAACAGTTTTCATATACTGAGTTAAAGGAAAGTCCGTTCTCTGTTCTTGAATCCTTGGAAATTATTAAAACTGTTTTCAGATTGAACCAAACATGCCATTTATTTTTAACATGAATTTCACTTCTTAAGCTGGAAACGACCCAATCACTTAACATGGAATAAGAAAACCATGTCACATTCTATAACTCAAAATTGCCTTGGTCTTAAAAGATATTCATGCTTAAAGACAAGCTAGAATGAAACATAAAAGCGAAATGCCTTTACTTGGAAGCCTCATTTTCTCCCCAAAGCTAATAGCAAATCCATTCAATTCGTGGGCTGCATGAACAAATCTACAAATCTCATGCATTATGCATTTCAGTTCTTCTTTCTTGAGAGCTAAGAGGATGACCATATCAAATACACTATTTAACCATAAATATCAGTATTGAACATGACATCACAATAAGTAGAAGTAAAAACCTACCCTGTCAATAGGGGAGGCATGTCACTACAATGCACATCAGCGAAGGAGAATGACCCTATCCATATAATAAGCCCCTTCTTTTAAAATAGATAGAAAAATCGGAGCAGGTCTGTACTCTGTAAGTATTTTTTTTTTTTTTCCTGAATTATTCTGTAAGTATTATGCCTGTATCATTTCCTGCAGGTGGTTGTTTTAATTCACAATCAAATCAATGATCAGCAACAGAATATAGAATTCAGTATCCACATGACGCAATCTCATAGATCATTGAATTACCAGTAAATTTGTGAACAAAAAGGGTCATTACTCTTGAATATCAGAGTTTCTTTTAATTACAGTACAGATACATTTTGCTTATAACCTACAAGTCACATCCTTGCTGAAACAGCACTTTGCATGCATTTCAAGCCAGCGATAATTGTTGACTATTATTAGACTGCATTACGCAATGCTCACTGCCTTTGTTTCTTCTGGGATGGGCCTGAAGAAGATCCAACCTGATTAAAAATAAATAAAAAGAAAAAAGACAAAAACAGAGAGCACATTCAGATAAACAATTTCATCATAGAAACCAGGAGACAAAGCAGTTTATTTGTTTATTTCTTCCAAGCATATACCAATAAAAAAATTTGCCCAAAATTTTGTAACTTTATTTTAACGTGACATGAATGCACCCTTATTTTGCAGTCAAGGGGAAGGGAATGCTTCTCGTTATAACCTGCACAAGGAAAGTCGTTTGGCTTCTTGCTGTTTAAGAATGCATTTGCCTTGGGGGAAAACCAGAATGGTTTGAAAGAATTTCAAATAAATTTTCACATGAATTTTCCTTCTTTTTTTTTTCTTTTTTTTTTCTTCTTTTACTTGATAGTGATAAGTAAAATTCATGGAGTCCCACAGCCCTTATATGTGGGAGGTACAGAAAAGAAAACTATTCGATCGAAATATACATATTCAATCAAAAACTCCACCATAGGATATATGGATATTGGATCTGCCTTTTTAAGTGTAAGATACAAAGAACTTGAAACAAATAACTCAACTTCTGAATTGTAATTTGCATAACGACTCAGGATGGTACCCACTGATTTTTGCCTTTTAGGTTATTCACATAAATTTGGTCTCTCTCGTGTACTGCTTTGAGGTTTAGTCGATTGCTTGGTTACTATTATCTGTTTGATTAGATAAATTGTCATAACTTGTTCAATTGCTTGATTGGTGTTGATCAAATAGAAAAATGAATAAATAATTGATCAACTCATTAGCTAAAATTGATTAAAATTAAATTCAGGCAAAAAGTAATCAAAGATTGACTTACATCTATCCACCTTTCCTCTAGGTCCATCTAGAATACATAATCCAACTAGAAGAAGAGACTATTTTCAGGTAACAGTTGAACCTTTCCTCCCTGTCTCTTTAGTGACAAGCAATATTAAAGTAGTTGATCCTCATCTTACAGACTTTTATTCTCTAACAGTGATTGTAACATATTAAAATGAAAGTTGAGCATGCTTACAAGTGATAGTTGTTCACTGATGTAGGTCATTGACCTCAACATAGCTTCAAGTGTATCTCTAGTAAGCTGAAACTTCACTTCCGTCTCTCCTAAAGGAGACTTGGTATAATCTTGCAGCTGCACCCAAAAAAAAAAAAAAAAAAAAAAGGGAAACAACATTATAGAGCAAAAAAAGAAAAGAGGGTCTAATAGCTAAAGAGATAAGATATCAGTACCATGTATGGAAAAAAAAAAGGCAGATTTTTATTTATTTTTATTTTTTTTACTTGGGAAAAAAAAAAAAAAAAAGGCAGAATGTTCATGAATTTTTGTTGAAATATGAGCATAAAAAACACAAACTGCAGGATGAGAAATGATACCCATAACTAAATAAAGCAACAGCAAGAACCCCATGTCCTGATTTTTCATCAATTTACACATTCCACTAACATAAATACACTTCAGAGAATGCATTGTGTTTCTTCCGAAGCATCTCAGCATATTAGGTTAAAAGCAAAAATCTCTCTTTATTCACATACCTTCAGACTAACGATGGCCACTCTATTATTTGTTGTGTTCAGATTCTCCAAGGTCCAAGTCATTGACTTGAGGCGGGGTAGAATTCCCTGTATCAACAAAAATCAAACATTGAGATAAAAGTGCAAAAAGCATACCTATGTGAAAATATTATAAGAAATCATTGATGCTTGATTGCTGGATAAGCCTTCTGAATTTTTTAGTTCCTTAGAATTCAGAACAAGTGAGTGTGGCCGAAACTACATATACTGACATGGATACGTGGTGAAAAAAAAAAAGAAAGAATAACACTAGAAATAAATAAATTTCTGAAATGGTGGAAGTAAAACACTTTGGAGACAAATTGGAAGAAAACCGACCCAGGTCAAGTTCCGGTAGCTCGGCTAGTTATTCACCCTATGCAGATTTTGCAGAAAGAATGAATTCAGTCCAATCAGGAGAGTTATACCACAACAGCGTAAGACATTAAATTAGGTGCACAAAGTTACCAATTTACCAGGGTAGCCAAGCCATCATATAGGTGGAACTAAAAACAAAGCAAATAATAATAAGCAAGAAAGGAAGAAGAGAGGCCATAAAATGTCTTTTAACAATCAAATAAATATAAAGGTACTAAACTAAGTATTACAAAAGCAAAACTCATTTATTACTTCCTTATACCAGATTGTCAGGAGGACCATCGTCGCATTGGAGAGGTATGGGAGCCAAACGTGACACATTAGTTTCAGCAATAATTGGTGGAGATGCCCCTAGATTGTTGCGACTAAAATGAGCAACAGGATCATCTTGTCGAGGCCACAGTGATGCAGAAATGTCGGAAGAAGATAGCACGCCTGCATTGACCTGGTGAGAGAAACCTGTCCTTGGCAATAGATTCTGGCAGAATTAAACATGAACAACATTAAACAAAATGACAACAGAACAAGAAAATGGTAAGTAAGTGATTACAAAAAAAAAAAAATTATCCATGCAAAGACTCGGAGAGTTAAATCTAGGAGCAGACCTGAAAGAGAGGCAGCACCCCCACCCCCTCAAAAGAAAAGGAAAGGAAATGAAAAAAAAAAAAAAACCCTTTAACTTGCAGCTCTTCAAAGATATGACTCATTTAATATTACAAGTATTATCCCCACATTCCCTCTATCCCAAAGTCTCTTCACAGTATGTTGGTGAATACATACTGATCAAGTAAAAACAGTAACTAAATAGTTAAGTGTCTCTACAGTTTAAGTAAAAACACAGAAGAAACAACTGAACTCAGTAATTACTAATTAGCAAGAAGAGTCTTTCTAGCAATTCCTTATTCCATAATTCTATTTCAAATTGGCAGGAATCTGTGAATGTAATCACGGATGACAGTGCTACATCATGGAATCTGCAATAGATCGGTTAATGAAACCACAGGCTAAAATCTCCAAATTTAAACACACACACATATATATATATATCGGCATATCTTAGTGTTAGTATTAGCCAGAAGAAAGCCTGCAATCTCAAGTGGTGAATCTGTAACATGAAGCACTGCTAGAATACAACACATAAATGCTCCGATCTTTTAAGTATGGCCCATATGCATCTTTCATAAATATAAACACATCAAACCAATTTCTACTGCTTTTACTGTAGTATCCTACTTTGTTCAACAAGTTAAAGAAAGTTCACCTGGTCCCTGGAGATTTCCACCTTCCACTGGTTTTGGTGTTTCTGGAATAACATGATAAGAATGCTTCTCAGATCAAATGACAATTCAGGTGGAAACACCTTCAAGATATCATCACCAGCAAAGTTCTCATGTACGCATTTTCTGATAAGCAAACGAAGGCATGCCAGAACCTACAGAATTTTAATTGTATATGGTAATCAAGTGAAAAGAAACTTGTAAAAGAGCACATATCTTATATATGTTTACTAGAAGCTGCTAAAAAGTAAGAATAAACATGAAAGTAGTGCAACTTCTGATGAAATATTTACAGCATTCCTAACATTATAGAAACAATCACATGGAAATAGACACATTCATAATGTTCAATGTAACACCATGTCATATTTCAAGTTGCTATGTTTTCATCCCCTAAAAACAAATTTTTTTTTTTTTCGTAGTTCCTCTAAAAACAATTGTTTAAGCTTCTTAGTAATATTGTATAGTAAAGTTATACAGCTAAGTAAGTAAGTAACCAGAATTGTACGATACAAAATATGATGCAGCACCAACATTCATAAAAGAAAGAGGCAATATGTATTACATCATGACAGTATGGTGGTACATTACATGATACACTAATAATTATGTAGCGGTGAACTTTTTAAATAAATATTAGAGTATAATATAAAGGTGTTTAAAAAAAAAGCTAAGTTTTCTTTTTGCTTTCTTCAGCCACTCTTGAAAAAATAAATTTTCCGTTCATTCATCCTCAGAGTTTATATTGTTTATTTTATGCTTTCCACAGGAAAGGAAGTCCAATTACTTAAAGCTATGAGATTCGACCAGATGCGCAAAACAAAATTTGTATTTAAATTTATTTTCATGATAAGATCTACAATACAATACACAAAACAAAAATGACCAAAATCAGAATGCAATACAGCCACAATTAAGTCAACCATGCTATATCAGTACAGCTGTGTCAAATTGAACCACAATTTCAAACCCCAAATTCCACATCGTGTACCTAGATGGTTTCACCGATGGACAAAACCAACATATTACCATTATACTTCTCGGACAAGTATTAGTTTCTTTTATTCTTTGGATTTCCAATCAGGTTTAGCATTCAAAGGTTAAATAACAATTTGACATCAGAAAAGCAGGGCCAAACAGCACGAAATGGTTTTATCAAACATAAAATGCTCAACGTTCAGAAGACCTTCTTTTGAGGTATATATCAACTAGAATGGTACGTGAGATAGGTACATGTGATAGAACCCTTACTGCTCCAACAACTGATCAAGATTAAGCATTCTGCTATCATTAAATGAGAAAATTTGAAGAAAATGTGTGTATCCATTAGATTGCACTTTTGTTTTTGAATTCCTAATGGTGAATGCCACTAGGTTTCCATAAAGCCACTATTCAACAGCTATAATAGCTCCAAAATCCTATAAATGCAGCTTCCAATATCTTTCAATAACATAGTTACATCCTAACTTCAAAACAAAGTTCTTTCATTCAAAATGCATGACATGAGCCAATGCAGTGTAAATCTTAAACAATATGAACATTCACCCACTAAATTCATGCACTTAAATGAGCAATCTTTCATCACCTCTGCTGCAAATGGTATCTTTATAGTTTTTCTCTATAATAAAATAAAAAGGAAAAGGTTTGTATAAATGGGATAATAAACTTCTGTAAATAATACAAGAACCCATCCCGGACATTACTGGAATTTGAATCCGCCAGTTTGTTTTTACAAATCATTTTAATGCAGAAATCCTACCATGTAATAAATTCATCAAGCAAAACCATGGGACTTTGCCGTATTTTTTCAGTAATCATTTTAAAATTTTCCTTGTACTAAAAAAATTCAAGATTTCAATCATGGCTACCATTTTCTGCCCATATCCCATATGGGTTCAATTTCCAATGATTGAAAACTTCTGCCTGATTGCTACGCCAAAACAAGTAACCATTAAAATTCAAAGGGGGGCGAAAGAGACCCTACACGAATCGTTTAACAATAGATACACATATATTACTGAAATTCAGTAGTATAAACAGTGAAATGCAGTTCTAAATCTGGTTTCACCATAATTTTATATAACTGGTGCCAAACGGCAAATACACAAATCAACAAAGCAAACAGTGTAAAATAATCCCACGCTAACGTACTGCTTTGGTTAGCACAATTGAAAGCTTTTGAAACATAACAGGGGGAGAAATATTTATAGAGAGACAGAGAGAAGGAGAGAGTGTGTTATTACAGGGTCGACTTCAGGAATGGAAGGAAGATTGAGAAGGGACTGAACATGGGACTTTTCTGGATTGGAGAGGCCGGTTTTGCGGGTCTTCCATAGGGTTGTGAGTATGTGTTCGAGGTCTTCTTCGGACTTTATGGATGATAGCTTGTGCAGTTGCAGGTATATCAGTGTGTCTTCCTCCATTTTCTTTAATAAATACAGGTTTCTTTTCCGTCTCTAGCCCCCGGAGATTTTTGGCTGTCGAAACCCAAAGGGGTTTTAGACTTTTAGTGCCCCAACCCACCTTTACTTCGAATTAGGAAATTACAACATTACCCTTATTACTATAAGGATTTAAATACACTAAACCCTCTCATATTTGGGCTAATTACACAAAATGAAGCATTTCAAAAAAAATTGCCCCGTGTTCCCAAACATTTGCACAATTGTTACTAATACACCGTTTGTTCGGTCACAACCAAAAAAAAAGGTTTAGTGTAAGCTCATCTCTCATCTCTCATCTCTCATCTCTCATCTCTCATCTCTCTATTTGAAATGACTTTATTAGACCATCTCCAATGCAAAATGTCATTTCGAGTTGCTAAATCTATATTTTGAGAGGAGTTACAGTGTCAAAATGTTATATTTTAGCAATTCTGCTCAAATGGTGCATTTCATCCAAAATGCTATATTTTTGCAATCTCAGCCTCCATTGAACCAAGCCCAACCCACTTCTAGCTTCCCCAATCCTACTTTAACTCTGACTCTTGAGTACCGTTGGTTTCGAAATTACCTTCCCATCTTAACCATTCGTTGCATTCTATCCCATATAATATTTTTAGGGCAAATCATTTCAGCCTCCCCAATTGCCTCCATCTTTATTCTCGTTCTCGACTCTGAACTTGCCCTATCTCTCCTGTAACTGCAAACTACAAAATCTACAAGAATCAGAAGTTCAAAACCCATATATTTCAGTTTATCTATCTGTTTGTAAGAATCAAAAGTTCAAAACCCATATCGGCATATCATTTCAGATTGTTCAAAAACTCAAAACCCATATCTTTCAGTTTTAATCGCCCGCTGTTCCAATTCGGGTTTGCCGTTCGCAAGCTTCAGCCGCTATCTCCCAACTCTCAAGCTTGCTATAACAACCCAAACCTGGGGTCAACCAAAGACAACACTGTCTTTTCCTATGTCAATACATGACACACGAGTTGGTCCAGGGTCTAAAATACTCCAATAGCACAGCTCGACAAAGGCGGTCAAATGAACAAGTCGAAGGGGAAGGATCAGCTGGCTGAAAAGTATTGGTCGGTAGGCTGAAACGGTTATGAAAATAGCATGCTCTCGGGACTTCTACTGTAGGTGTTTCGGTCGGCTGATGATGGGGGTTCAGTCGGCCAAACCTGGAGTTTCGGTCGGCTGATGGTGAGGATCAATCGACCGAAACAAGGCCCTTGAACCCTGAACTCACTGGGATGGCCTTTGACTGTGTTCTATAAAAACCCAAACCTACACTGAACTTGTTTGCAACTAATTTTCTGAATTCACGGCAACAGTATGAGTCATAATACAATTAAATGGCATCTGTAAATGGGTCAAGATATACTTCATTTACCATTCATTCATAAGTATTTACATGATCTCAAATTATATCCAATTACCCTCAAAAGTTACAGTTTACATTACATGACCATGGCTTGCAAAATGAATACATTTTACTTCAGTTTTGAGACTTTACAAAATAATGGCAAATATACAAAAGATGGCAAAATGGTTTATAATCCTTCTCACGCTTATGGTGGGTCGACGTCCACTACTTTCTTTCTCAGTCCTGAAAAATGTTAAATGATGGGGTAAGCAATTTGCTCAATAGGTGGTGCCTAAGACACACCTCTTGTGACCCCGCAAACCTAAACAATGAATAGAAATAAGGCAATGGGATCACACTATGTCGGGGAAAAATACAATACAAGCTCAAGTCATAATAAAACAAACTTATGCCATGAAATGCAATGCCGTGTATGTTACTTCCCATTTTCAAAATCCAAATCCATCATTTTTTAAACTATTAATATAACCCGTCTGTTGGTGACTCCGCAACGACACGAGAGAAGGATTAGCTACTGTCCCTGACCCTTGGTACCTCCGTGGCGTCATTTGGGGCCCAGATAGCTCAACCACGGTAGGGTGTTTCCCCTAATTCTCTTTACGTTACACTAACACACCGGCCCTTTGGTGACTCCACGGCGACCGGGTTTTTATAAATCCATTTAATCAAAAAAATTCCCCAAAATCCCCTTTTCATTTGTTTCAAATCATTTCCCTTCATTCATGCCCCATGGTATGCATGTATGTATCATGTTTTCAATACTAGGGCGATAAGGAATTTTACATGCTTCCATTTAACAATTTATAACAATTTAACGAACACAATAGACATAACAAATCAACAATTAGGCATGTTTTCCAAGTAAGTCAACAAATACGCATAATTGCATGCTTCATATACACAATTAAATCATTTTAAGAGACAATCAATTCAAATCAAGCAAACATGGTAGCAATTATAATAGAATAACTCACAAAGGTGCAATAAAATTAGGATTAGAGACCCCTACCTCAATCTAAGCAAAAACCCCCCAATTTTTGTGCCTTAGATCTCGAAATTCCCAAGTGCACTAAACTAGGAATTCCTCTGATCAACTTGTAGATTTCGTTATGAGCTTCAATTTGCCGCAAACGGCACTTAAAAATACCAAGTATTGAGGAAATATCAAGGTTCAAAGTTTGAAGTAAAAAGAAAAAGAAAAAAGAAAATGAGAGAGAGGAACCAGCGAGAGAAGAGAGAAGATTGAGACCAAGAAGGTGGTCCCATGACCACTTAAAGTGGTTGTGGGCCCCACCTAAAAATTATTTTCTTTTTTCCTTTTTACACCACGCATATATGTTTATACACATATTAATTTACAACCACATAAGTTACATTAAATGAAATGATTATGATGCAAATGGACCCAACAAAAACCCCGTACGCAACCATTCCGGTAGCGGGTCCCACATGGGATCGTTCGGCTCGAAAAATGAAAAAATGTACAAATGATCACCATTACATTTCAAAGAGTTCTGAACTCAATGGAATGCTCCAAACAACCCTCGGACACAGCCGGCACACTCCGCAGTGTCTGGTATGCAAGGCGACAAAAGACGAAAATGCCCTTAAAACAACAAAATTCTGAAAAAATAAAAAATGACGAAATTCAAAAAAGATTACACTTGCCCCCATTTCTCTCTACAACTGCTAACTTGTATGTATGGAATTTTTAAAATAATTTTGAGGTAATCATTGTAATCTACATTTTATTTCTTGGAAGGAAGAGGGGTGGCCGGAGATTTGCGAGGATGAACTTGGCCTTGGCTGAGAGGGAGAGAGAGACGACAGGGCAACGTAGACAGAGATAGAAATCAATTAAAAGACTTGCCAAAAAAAACGGCCTCGTTATGGGCAATTAAAAGACTTGTCAAAAAAAATTGGCAGCTCATATATTTGAGAGCAGATTTGAGATTCTCAATTTTTTATAGCACATTGGAGAGCCCACTTTTTACACACCTTTCAAATTTTAGGTTTGACAACCCAAATGAGAGAGCATTGGAGTTGCTCTTAACCTTACAATAACATTTAATTACCAAACTGTCTTATTTTATGGACAAAAATACCATTTTCTCCTCCTACTCTCTTTTTCTCTTTCTACCCACAACTACCCACCCCTTTTCTTTTCATTTTATCTCCCTCTCCTCCCACCCACCTTAGCCACTACCGTCGCATCTCACACCTACATGGTCTATCACCAAAATATAAGTATATCGTATATACATATATATACATAAATTCAATAATACCCAATTTGTTGATGTTTGACTTCAACGCCAAATTTGAGATAACCCCAAATGGTTGGCTAAAGTGGTAAGTCACTTGAACCTGGTGCCTCATGAAGTATCAAGTTTTCAAACAATTCTTTAAGGTCATGCCTACTGGTGAAAACTTTAATTTTACCCGACCTGTGTAAAGGGGGTGTTTTGTACAGTGTCTCGAGGTTTTAGTTAGGGCAAAAGCCCCAAATTCCTGATTATCTAAAAAAAACTCTATTACTTCTTCCTCTTCCACCACTACCACCGCGCATCATATCCCTTTCTCGTTTTGCTTTGTAATGACTGCCAAAAATTAAAGGCAATGCCATTGACACTTGAAGGAACGACCTCGTCGACCCAAACCACGAGCACGTAACAAATATGTGTCAAACCCAACAAAACAAAAAATTGTCCTCTCTAACCGAACTAAACAAGAATTGTATTTGAAACACCCCCATGTATATGCGTGCGGCGCATGCGCTTTTTGAAACTAAAAGAAATTAGGTCTCGTAAAGTTGTTCATATGCATGTATATTTGATTAGTCTGTTCAATTTCAATTAGGGTGGCAATTTGTGTTTACGGATCGTGTTCGTGTCGTGTCAAGATTGAGTATTCTATTATATAGTGTGTCGTTTCGTGTTGTGTCAAATTTTGGCCCATTTATTAATTGACACAAATATTATATGAATAACACGACACAACATGCATAACCCATTTATGAATGGATCACGACTTGACACAATAAAAAACGACACGTTTAGTTAAAGGCCTGTTTGGTACGCATTTTATTTTTAGCATTTTTTATTTTGTCGGGTATTGTAATAGTGAACAGTGGAAAAAATGTATTTGGTAAAAACTATTTTTTTTTGCACAATACCAAAACGTTTCATGAACAGTGGACGAAAATAAAAAAACATCAATTTGATGTTTTTATATGTTTCCGCACTGTAACATTTTGTACTGTAGAAATGAACATTTTTTTGGGTAAAAACTCTTAAATGACATTTTAAAACTAACTATTATATTTTTCAAACTTGCAACATTTTTTTACCAAATATATTTTCACGTTTTTGTTTCAAAAATTCTTGTAACAAATGGATACTACAAACATGCTTTCCATTACTATTCAAAACACTCTATAACAAAACATTTATTTTGTTTCGAGTTAAAACAAAACACCAAAAACAAAACGTGTACCTAACAAACCCTAAATAAGTAATTATATAACTTGTGTGAAAAAGTATGAAGATGTTAAAAAGATACAAGCATGAGGTTAACTGAGTAATTATGTAAAATATACATCACGTGTCTCTCAAATCCCATCAAATCACGTGTTTTTCGAACCGAGTGTGATTCGCACACATGAGATGCACATGTCCCAACTAAAATTTTGGAGAAAAGGAAAAAATAAATAGAATTATGATTTTTTTTGTAATTTAAGGCTACATTATTATGTTCCTTATTATTTTTGCAATGTTATACTTTTTAGGGTTATTTTAGTATTTTTCGTATACTAGGGTTTGCATACTGTTAAGTTTATATAAAGTCTTATTTGTAAACTTACAATTTAGTTTTGAAAATCTTGAATATTATCGTTCAATTTGCGAATTCCTTCCTTGTGTCTTATTTCCCTCGTGTTCTTACTGTTCTCAATCCTCCAGTTTATCTATCTTACCTCATTTAATTTAATTGTCATCCTCATTTGTCTATTCTCTCATCTCTTTCGTCTCGTCTCATATTCTCATTCCCATCCCCTTATTTCTTTTTGGTTACTATTGGTTAAATATATTAATATTATTAGTTATTACTTGTTTCATTTTAAATTTAGTTGTTCCAAGTAACGCAAATTTCTAAGAATCTCGTTTATAAATATAAACCCCACCAAATCCCTTAGATTAGCTCTTGACGTTAGTTAGCCCAGATCGTTAATGGGGGGGTCATTGCAAGATGTTTAAAATTTTTACCAGTGTGTAATTTGGACAAACCTAAGGGCATGTCCTTGTATTTAACTCTTACTATAACAAGCATCTATTTTGTTTTGATTATTTGTTGCCAAATTCGTGAAGAAAAAAAACAAGTTGCCAAAATACGATTAACAACATTGTTATAAATTGCACAATATTACAACTGTTTGAGAAAAATACTTAAATTTGAATGAATGTTTTTATTTATTTTTGCTACTAGAGTTCAGCCACTACAACAATAAATTTTTTCATATATAATGTGAATGTTTTAATTTTTATTTTGTAAGAGCATCCAAGTAATTTATTTCATTGTTTACTTTAAAACATTGTATAAGTTTTAAAATAAATTACAACACAACAAAAACATAGTTTATTTTTCATATAAAATTTGAAAATGCAAAACAAATATTGCACAATGTGTGTCGTGAAAAGTATTTTATGATTTAAACATTGACAAATAGCATTGCTATAACCCTCTATCACACTGTGAAAATTTTGATATCACGTAAAATAAACATTTTATAGTTGTTCCCTTTATGCTTAAAATTCTCTATACAATCATCGAGGCTAGTTTCGTTAGCTAGCATAATAAAATTTAAAATGAAAGACTACGGTGTTGTTTGATATCGCTTATTCAATTAAGTGTGTTTGATAACAAAATTTGAATATTACTGAAAACGGTAAACACCACTTAAAATGGAGTAAAATTTGAAGTGACAGAGTCATCACTTATCAATGTTAAATGCTTAATTTTTTTAAAAATATTTATTTTTTAATTATCACTTACAAACTTCAACGCTTAAAATTCAATTCTTAAAATTTTCACTACTTAATTTTAAGTTTTATTAACAAGTGCAGAAAAAATCCTTAAAGTATGCTTACAGTGTAACACCCCCTCACGTGCAAAAAATATCCCTAAATATTTAATTTGGTGCAAATAGATTTGACAAATTAAAAACCTAACTTGGCAAAATTACCTTTATTGAACTATTTTATAAAATATATAAAAATAAATAATTTTGTAAAATGACAGAAAATGACACTATTCGAGGATGCCCCTTACGTGCGAAAAATAACCCTAAAGTTTCAATCTGGTACAAACATGTATCTCTGACAAATATAAGCCCTAAGTTGACTAAATTACCCTTTCTAAACTATTTTGTAAAATATATAAAAATAAATAATTTTATAAAATGATAGAAAATGACACTATTGGAGGATGGTGGCAATGGACAAGTAAAGATAAAAATATAAAATAAAAAAATATATATAAAAGAAAAGTAATATATATATATATTTATATAAAAAGTGCAAAGTAAATAAAACAAATTTGTTCCAAACTTCGAAAACTAATGCACACTGATATTGGGAATTTTTTCCTCTTTTTATTTATTTATTTTTTGTTTAACAGTGTTACTACGAAAAAAATAAAATAAAGAATAAAAAATTAGTAGAAAAGAATAAACTGAAATATCAAAAAATTCAAATACTTGTTCCACAAATTCTCAAAGATTAAAAAAAATAGTTTAAATATATATATAGAGAAAAAAGTTTCAAATATATATATATATAAGGTAATGTGCAAATAACATCCATATATTATGAGATTAGTAACATGTATACTCTCTTGGGCATTTTTGAAAAAGTAAAAAGGTAAAATAGGTATTACAATACAAATTTATGTTAGATGGGTATTTTTACACAATGTAAAAAAATTATAAATATTTTTTGCACACTTTTTTAAATAGGTTTAAAAATGGTACGCATCGTGGTATACTTTCACTTGTCTCTTTATTAGACAGTAAGGGACAAAAAGTTATCAATCACACATTAGAAAAAACTTAAATTCAAAACAAAGAAAGAAAACAAAAAAATTCACTTGTTTTTATTATTATAGCAATAATATTTTAAAAAACCAATTAATGTAAATACTATATGTTTTTACAATCACAACACAACATAAAAAAAAAATAATAATTTAAGCTTTCTTATAAAATTGAAAACGCAAAACGAATAAGAAAGGTAATAAAGAGAAATGACTTTTTTTTTTTTTGGAATGATGATGTGGGATCCGCCCTTTAGATTTGAAGATACCAAATAAACTCTCGGCTACTCATCCCGACTCCACATCGAAAGAGAAATGCCGTGGGAGTATTGTGTTTGGTATCAATTATTAGGTTCCAAAAATGGGAGGAAGGGAAATAAAAACAGTTACAAAGTTTAATAAAAAAGTTTTAATACTAAATTTATCTTAATTTTATAGTAAAAAAAAAATAAAATTTATTGAACATGTTTTTATTATTTTCAAACTATTTTATTTGTTTTCAAATTGTCCATTTGATTTGAATGATGTCACTTCTTACATTGCATATTTGTTTGTTAAATGTCAAATGATACATGATAAATTCCTTAAAATAAATTATTCTCATTTTTTTTTTCAAACATAATTAAATGTTAAGACTATAATTTATTTTATTTTTACTAATTAATCAACCAAACATACGAAAGTTTAATAACATCATTTTCGTTATTTATTTCTAATTAATCAATTGAATATGATGAGGGTTTAACAATATCATTTTCTTTATTTTCTTTTATTATTAATGTTAGTATTTTTTATTTTTTCTTTTTCCTCATGTTATAGCAAACATAATGTTAATTTTAATATTTTATTTTTTAATATTTTTTATTACTAAAAATATATATTAAATGATTCTTTAATTTTTTTATATGCTCCCTAGTTGAAAAAAGTATCTCAATAAGGTCTAGATCACACACTCTCTTGCCAGGGAAGAGGATCTATTGATATTTACTTTTATAGTGAGACAGTATTTATTTATTTATTTTTGCATCCGCCACAGTTGATGCCCTACGGTGACCCCATTTTATTGTCACCCTTTGATTTGTCTCTCCACCGTTTTTCCTTTTCCTTTTCCGGGGGGAAAATAGAAAAAAAAAAAACTCTCTACTTCGGCCAACGACAGGTTTCCACTTCTCTCTCATCCACGGGCGACTCTTTTTTGTGCTTGTATTCTTTTATGGTGTTGGGGTTTTCGCCATAAACTGTCACCGTACCATATTAAATTATTTTTTCATCCCTGTAAATTCATGTTACATTAATCGTTCTATAGAAACCCTTAACTGGAGCCTTTCATTTTCACTGCTCGAAAATTTTCTTCATCGATATCCTCTCCAGGTGATAACACATCTACACTTTGTATATATAATATGTTTGTATATATATATTTTGTTTTTGTCTGTGTGTTCTGATAACGGTCATTTGTCGGCTAGATAATTAATCTCACCAATTTTAATTGATATCCATGCCTATTATAACTACACCTCTAATATACTATAGCATACTCCTGTGGAAACAGTTTGTGGGTCGAATTTTTGTTATTTGATTTCTCATGTTGAAATTGTTTTTTGGGTTTTCCCAAATTATTTAATTACACGGTCATAGACTATTCTATGAAGAACTTCAACACCTTTTGGGTTCATTATCCCTCTTAAAGTGTGTATAAATGTATAGCATAGTCGTGGTTGAATTACAGTGAATAAGGATGCTTAATTTGAAGATAGTTTTATTTGGTATGAATACCCTGTTGGTTGATATGCAAAGCTACTGTTTATTACTATTATTTTTTAAAATTTTAAAATTGATTTTTCATGTCATGCTTATTTATTTCCATCTTTGTTATTCCGAGGCTGCGTACTGCACATCATTTATTCTGTCATACATATAGTTTTATTATTGATGCTAACACACAGACTTATTTATAGTTTTCCAGCATTTTTTCTGCCTTCATACATCTCCTTATGTTCCCGGCTATAGACATCTCTTGGCCAAAAACCTAAATCCTCTATAAAGCTATTATTTTTATGTATTGCTCCTCACTTGGATTTATTTGGGAACTGTATTGCTCTTTTGCTGTTAACTTTTGGTTTTTTTGTCCACAGAATTATTCTACGTAGACATAGAGCTCCACCTTTATATAATATGTTAAGTAGTATATTTTATACTATCTTTCTCTATCTATCTCATCGTAGAATTCTTCATTTTTAGGCTCTTTGGAGTCAGAAGAATAATGATTGAAGTTGAGACGGGTGGAGCTATGTCTCTTTGAGGTACAGCTTGTATATATATTTTTCTTTATAAATTATGAATTATCTTACGAACTTATTGGAGCTCCACCTTTATGGTATTAGCTAGATCATATAAATGTTATTCATGCTCTTATATTAATATTTTGCATCGATTTTTTTTTTTTTTTGTGTGGATATACATGCATATATTGATGCTCTGGAGTAGTGGTTGATGGATTATATATTGATCTTTCTTTTTGTATTTAAGAATGGTCTTTACATAGCTATTCTTCCAATCCTCCTCTCACATATAAAGCCTTGTATTTTACTCCAAGATTATCCATTTATTTTTTGTTTGTCAAATGTAGTTTGTGTGAAACTTGCTTTTCAGTTTTACACCTCAAGCTAGGGTTCTATCTACATTACATCGAATCAGGTACTTAGTTCAGGTGGGAACACTAAGGGATATCAAATACACAAACCAAAAAAAATGTATATATATATATTTGAATGGTAAAGCAAACACACACACACACTTTTGCCCACGCCTGGGCTCGAACCCCCCTCCCCTCCTCTTTGAGGATGGGGAGGTTATACCATTGGGCTAGAGCCTAGACGCTCTTTGGTCAAAAAATTGAATTTTTTATTATTCTTATTTTGTTTCCAAGATAAAATAGTGGTTTTTATAACATGGATCATTCAACATGGACACTTATATTGTTTTGAAGCAAAAATGTGTTAAAAGAAATGTAACAAGAGAGTTATATACAATGTATATGTTTGCAAGTTTCATGTACAACCAAACATTTAAGGAAGACCATCACCCTGCTGCTGAGCGTTTGTTACAGGTATTTCGCACAATTTAGGATTCTCAAGCACATTTACGAACCGTTTATAGGAGCATACAACAAGACAATGACTTGTTAACTGATTGTGATTGACATTTATTGTGAAGAACAACAATATTGGTTATTAATATGAGATGACATAATCATTAATCACCTTGCAAAGAAATTTCAGGCTGTACACAGTTAGTCACCAACACAGATGGAAAGTGTCATTTATTGGTTTGTGCAAAAAATGAAAATTGCCTTTTCTCCAACAACCAACCACTAGTGCCTTTTACAAATTCCATAGAAAACTTAAACGCACCAGGGAAAACAATATGTTTAACTTTCACTTATACTCTGTTAATGAAATGGAGCTCAAAGGAATGACAAAAAAGCAAAAATGCAACTGCAGTAAATAAAATCTATATAGTCTGCCCTGCAATAGTTAAAAGGGAATCTGTTTATCAATAAAGGTTTCTTTGGGAGTTGTGATTGAGCTATACTCATTTGGATAGTATCCAGTTATTTGGATATCTATCTAGGACTACTTGTGGGGGATAGGATACAAACATCAAGTTGTCTAGGCAAGACAAGTCTGGGAACTAGACTAGAGGAAACCTTTGATAGTTTGAAGTAGGGTGTGATGGAAAACCTCATTTTTTCCTTGTCCATGATGCCAAATCCTTAAAGTTTCATTTGAATATCTTAGACTCTGCCTTTGGTAAATACTCCTTTAATTGGCCATTCGAAGTGTATGACATGCAATCTAAGTCAGGTGGTTAAGAGCCACAAGTTTTTTTTCTTTTTCTCAGTTGGTACTCACACACACATGCCTCCACTGAAGCTTAAATCCTTGACCTCCCTTTGGGAAGTAAGAGACTGATACTACTAGACCACTGGCCCGTTGGTAAGAGCCACATTTTTTTTGAAGAGCCACATTCCTAAGTCAGGTGGTGGAGAGCCACATGGTTATATAAGAAGAGTTACTTGCAGTTTCCATTGCCTTGGGGAGTGGAAGCACTGCTAATTGTAATTGAACTTTGTGATGGAGACCAACACAGTAGTTAGTCACTTCCTCACTTAGCCCAAGTTGAACCCCAAATAAGCTTTGTGGTCTAATACCTCATAAATTAAGCTAGTTGCACCTACTCTGTGTCTTAGAAGACTGGTGCCTTTTAATAAGGCTCTCCTTGGAAAATGGTTGTGGAGATTTGGAGTGGAGAGGCATTGGCTTTGGAGGAGGGTCGTTGCTTGTCGTTTTGGGGAGTCTAGAGGAGGGTGGTGTTCTTTAGAGGTGCGTGGCCCTCGGGGTGTGGGGGTTTGGAAAGTCATTTGGAAGGGATGGGATGAGTTTTCCAAACACGTTCGTTTTCGAATCAGGGATGGTAGGAGGATTAGTTTTTGGGAGGATGTTTGGTGTGGGGATTCTCCTCTCGCCCTCACTTTTCCTCAACTTTTCAGGATTGCTATGGATAGGCAGGGCATGGTGGTTAACTGATATCATCTTGATAGCGGGACACTAGTTTGGGATGTTCGATTCATTTTAGGATTGGGAGATTGAGGAGGCCATTCGTTTTTTGGAGTTGTTGTATCGCCAGAGGATTGTGGACGGGGATTCTGATAATCGGTCTTGGGCTGCCAACTCTCAGGGGCGTTTTGAGGTTAGGTCCTTTTTCAGATGCCTCACGGATGATCCTAGAGTTCGCTTCCCTTGGAAGGCTGTTTGGCGCTCTAAGGCTCCTCTCAAGGTGGGTTTCTTTGCTTGGACCTCTGTTCTTGGAAGGATCTTAACCCAGGATAATTTGAGAAGGAGAAATCAGGTGGTGATCAATCGTTGCTATATGTGTCTTCGGGATGAGGAAACTGTGGATCACCTTCTCCTCCATTGCACCATGGTTAGAGACTGCTGGAATTTGATGTTTGGCTTGTTTGGGATTTTTTGGGTTATGCCTGGATCCGTTAGAGGGTTGATTGAGGCTTGGAGAGGTTGCCATGTGGGGGCTCACATTCAGGATGCTTGGAGGGCTACGCCTCTTTGTGTGTGGTGGTGTATTTGGCTTGAGAGGAATAGGAGATATTTTGATGGGAAAGAGATGTCGATTTCTACTCTTAAATTCTCTATTCTTTTCACCCTTTTTTGTTGGGTTTCAGGGAGAGATCATAGATCTTTAGAGGAAATTGTCGATTTTTTGGCCTCTTTGAAGGCTTAAAGGTCCTTTGTGGCCTTGTGTATTTCTTTTGGGCTTCGCTCTCCTTTTGAGCACTTTTATAAAATTTTACCTAAAAAAAAAAAAAAAAAACGTTGCAAGGTTGAGGCATCCCATTGACAACACATCTGATTAATAGCAAGGTTACAGGTATCATTTATGAGCACTGCAAATAAAATTTTCAGATTAATATGATGATTGAGCTGTCATTAGCAGTGCATTTGGAGAGAAAGTAAAGGAAAAATTTATATGCTTGTTTGGATTGAAAAGATGGGAGGGAAGGAGATGGGGAGATGATGTATCCTGATAGGTGCATCTTTGGTCTCCTACCAGGAGTGAGTGAGATATGTGGAGAAAGGAAATGGAGTTAGTGAATACCCCTTTTCACATTTTTTTAAACTAATATTTTATAGTTTACCTTTCTGTACGCATAAGAAAAAAATTTCTTTTCCTTTAGTCTACCCCCCCCCCCCCCCCCCCCCCCCCCCCAGCCTTTCCTTTTTTCTTGAGCAAAGGGAAGCTTATCACCATCCTTTTGTTTCTTCTCCCTCCTAGTTATCCAAGCATGATGAGGAGTACTGTTATATATTTTTTTGTTATACATATTTTTCTTTCTTTCTTCTCCAAATTTATGTTGTCCTCTTCCTTGCTTAGGGTAAAAGTTGTTTTCATACTTAAACGCAATAGGGTTTCAGAGTGGACTGTGGTGCAATGCCAAGGTCACACTATGCTTTGCAAATGTAGCTGAAAAGCTTCCTAGGTCTTGCTCTTGGCCGACTAGCTGCACGTGGGGAGAATTTAATAGATGGCTTTAACTATTGATGAGCTTTAAAAATGGGAAAAATCTTGCTCTTGTCTCGTATGTCAAGTTCCACGATCAAGGTATATCTGGTGTAGACCAAGGAGTTGAAATCAGTCATCTGAGGTGTAGTATTTGATGGAGTTGCTACATGTGCACCATCATGGAGTATCAAATGCGAGAAGATTTGTTCGCACCTCAGTTTGTGAATGGAGAATCACAATGTACAGGAACGTGACATGTTTGGGTGCTGTCACTGCCATGTGAATTGTTATTGTCTGGGGGCTCATGGAAAGGTAAGTTTGGTACCCACATTTTCTCCCTGCATGTGTGCAACTTATATGCTGAGTCTGTATGTTCTTGTTGCATGGACAAGCATATCTCATCTACTATAGATGTTTCTGACCACAACTAAGGAAGTTTAACATCTATTAAGGGATGTCGTACGTCTTATTGCTTGATGACACCCACTATATATAGTACTTAGGATTTATTTATTTAATTTTTTTTTTCCACATACAACTTCAAGATATTAATACAATGCTATAATAAAAAAGGGGCTAGCTCAATGCATGAGGCTCCTGCTATTCCGGGGCTTAGGGAGGATTAGATGTACCCAACTTTACCTCCGCAATCACAAAAGGCTATTTCCCATTTCGAACCAGTTGCCAAGGCCCACCTTCTAATACAATGCTATGGTATCACCTCTAATTGCCCCACCTTTTTTAGGGTATTTCTTTGCATTTTTCCTTTTGAGGTTAAAGATGAGAGGCACTTCCTGCCAGGAGAGGATGGGGCCTCATCCAAGGTTCCTACTGAATTAAGGTGGAGTCCCCTTAGGTTTTGATGACAAATTATGAATGTGGGCTCAAGAGTTTGTTTTGCCATTTTTGCTTTTGTAGCTCCCTTTCTTGGTGAAGCAAGGTGAATAAGTTGAGAATGTTTGTTGGAGCATTGCTCTTTCTTTTGTTTCTTGGTAAACCATCCGTTTCATTACACTTAGTAAGATTGTGGACTGCTAACATTGTGCACAATAAGTGCTTTGAGAAGAGGCTAAGAGAGCATGGACACTTGTTGTGACTGAGAATTCATCCAAGGTTCCTACTGAATTAAGGTGGAGTCCCCTTCGGTTTTGATGCCAAATTATGGATGTGGGCACAAGAGTTTGTTTTGCCATTTTTGCTTTTGTAGCTCCCTTTCTTGGTGAAACAAGGTGACTAAGTTGAGAATGTTTGTTGGAGCATTGATCTTTCTTTTGTTTCTTGGTAAACCATCCGTTTCATTACACTTAGTAAGATTGTGGACTGCTAACATTGTGCACAATAAGTGCTTTGAGAAGAGGCTAAGAGAGCATGGACACTTGTTGTGACTGAGAATCTTAAGCTACTGTGCGAGACAACATATTGCTGCAAACTTTGTTTTCTCATCGGAGCCAAGCCTCTCATGCGTTTTATATTTGTTTAAGGTTCATGCCAGTGCTTGAGAGCATTTGCTAGATTGGAAGTTGTTTGTGAGTTATCGTAGGTTTTGGTGTGTGATAAACATAATAAGCTAACCACCTTTAAAGAGAGTCCAATTACATCCATTTTTCATTCAACAATGACTTTTTTTTTTTTGTCTCAAATTTTATCATCATTTACTAAAGCCCTTATATCCTCACATTTTATGTACTTAATATAATTCAGATCTATAGTTTTCCTCCCTTAACAAGTTCATATACATTCTTTTTCTCCATCCTTTGTACCTAGCTTAGAATGAAGATCGTTTTATGTTCTATATATTGTCTCGTTTATACTTCTTACAACTTATTCATTTGCATATTTTTAAGTTTTAAATTTACACCATTTCTAGTTTTTTGTCAGATTTGATGACGCTTTTTGTTTTTACTATAGTTTGGACATTCTTGATCCCACCACTATGTTTCTTTAGGCCCTGTTTGATAACCGCTTCTGTTTTCTGTTTCCTGCTATGAAAAATTAAAAAAAGAAGAAACAACAGCGGAAGACATGTTTGGTAACCACATTTTAGTTTTTCGAAAGTTGAAAGCAATGCTATAATTTTATTAAGAGTTCCGTGTATAAAAGAGTTTTCAAGGGCACTGTAGTGGAAGCGGAGGCCTTTAGTAATCACAGGATCTTTTGTCTTAAATGATAGAGACCTAAATACTACACTCACTTCCATCTCTCTCAACCTCCATCTTGTTATGAATTAATCCCTTTCGTATCAGCTTTGATATCACTTGTTAGGTTAATCCACCCATGATCACACACAACAAATATGCAATGGCAACAAAAGAAAATAAGATGGAAATAACATACTCAACAAAGAACAAGGTTTACACAACTAACTTTTTTTTAAGGAAACGAGAAGATTGCAACTCTCATCGTATTACCAAGAGGTATTCCAGATTCACTCACTAGAAGAATACACACTCTTCTAAAGGAATACACTCACTCTTGGCCGTCTCTAACTTCTCTCTATCTTTCGTTCACTCTTTATCTTTTCTTCATGCAATATTGTGTTTCACAACGGCTATATGCATAATTGACCTGGCCATCTTCAGGTTGCTTCACTGCCTTAGCACAATTAATGTGCCGCAAACAAAGACCAAGGCTTTACTAACCAATCGCAACACATACGTTTTTAATCCTTTATCCTTTTCACCATTCAAGTACTGATCAATGCATTTATCCACATAATTCACACCAATCATCTTCATCCATGTTAGCAACACGCGCATCATTGACCCAATGAATTTGAGCCACATTAACAAATCTCCACGTTGACTCAAGTTCTCCAATTTAATCATCATTCTATTTTTGCTTCTCCATCACACTCATTTACATATCAAATCCCGAGTTTTGATAACTTGGGAACCAATCTCTTATCATCCAATCGGAACTAAAATTTATTTGCTTCTCGAATAAAGGTTTAAGTTGTTGTCAAGACTTTATCCTTCACCTGCCGTTTTTGATCCTCCACCACTCGTAGATCTCGAAATGGGCTTACGCTTTGTCTTTCCAACAGCTCCACTCAACAGAGTATTCCCCAACAGATTACCAAGCTTCTTTCCCATAAGCATGATACGAGTTTGAACACGAGTTCAATTTGTTTTCTTAAACAAGCCGAGCCGAGCCGAGCTGAGCTCGAGCTTTTTAAAACCATGAGGAGCCCAAGCCCGAGCTCTGAACCCTAGTCGAGCCTGAGCTAAGCCCATAAACAAACGAGCCGAGCCCAAACAGCCTAAAGCTCGGCTCGGCTATGCTTGTTTGGACTCTGGAGCCCTACATTTAATGCTTTTCATTCATTGCATGCACTTATCTCCTCCACGCACGCATACACGTTCAATTCATATAGTCACGTAATTCACACCAATCATTTTCATCCATGTTAGCGACACCCACTTTCCTGACCAATGAATTTGAGCCACTTCAAGAGCGTCTCACTCCATCTCTCTCAACCAGAATAATAAATTTCTTACACTTTACTCATTTCTCTCGCTCATCTCTCAAGGTCGCCACTACCATACTCGCTGGTGGAGCTCACGATCTCTCAAGCTTGCATCTACATCCTTGCTGCTGACGAAATCTACAAGGTACGTGCAATCTGAAACTCCACTTTATGTGGATTTTGTAGGTAAATCTGAAATAGTTTATGTAGATTTTGTATATTAATCTCTAGATTTAGTTTATTTTGTAGATTGGGGTTTAGGGTTTGTAGATTTTTTAGTTCTTTTTTTAGATCTGAACAGATCTGAATAGATTTGTTAATAATCTCCCATTCTCTTCCTTCTACCCAAATTTGAACAGATTTAAGAAGATTTGCCCAAAGTTGTCTCTTTTTGTTACTATTTGTGTGCGCCATTCATAAGCATTCCATGAAATTTCAACTTGTGAGCCTTAAATGGGGCTGTTTGAATTTTCATTAATGTGTTTTCCTTATGGGTGATTTTAGCAACGAAAATATTTTGTCATAATAGATGTACAGTTTTGGCAACCAATGCATAGTTGGCTAATTGGTTCCTCAATCCTTTTGATGATAGACTTACCAGATTCACATTGGATCTTATGCAACTCCAAACGAACATAGCAAATCTACATTCTTGAATGTTACCTATATAAATAATAACATTACCTCAGAATTTTTTATAACCAGAACCACATGAAAACCTCTTGCAAGACTTCAAATATCAGTATCCAAATCAGAGCTTTAACCTTTTGTATGTCTACCTATATATCATCAAGTCATAACAGCATATTTATTAGTAAAAAGTTTACCATTTTTAGTTGGACCCCATAAGAATAATTCGTAACAACCCAATTTATTAGCTCGTATGTACCTTATTTTATTTGCTTTCAAAAAGCAAGTGCTTTGAACTATTTTTACCATAACAGTGAGGCTGGGATAGGTGATTGTATATGTTTTAGTAGCATTTGTTGTTGTTGCTTCTACTGCTAATGCTTGTCATTTTTGATTTGTTTTCTTGTTTGTTGCTATTTCTGCCCTCTCATTTGTTTTGATTTTCAATTCTGTGTTTAGCATAAAATTGTGCTCCTAGCTCAGTTGGCATTATGTGAAATATCTCATTCAACTGATCTTGCTTTTCTAGCTCGTAGACATATTCAATAATTTGTTGAAGGTCTCTGTATGCTGACATGATAGCTCAGGAAGGTCCAGCAACTATCACATAAATGCTATGTCCTACTGAGTCTGTTTTGGGCCTTAAATCACAGTTCATTTTACTCTATGCATGACTGTATTTAAGCACGAACTGAGCTGTCTACATGAAGGTGAATATAATTCATAAAGCTACCATGAGTACCAGTTGCCGTAATTCGTTATAATACTTGTTTTCAATTTAGTGAATATTTAATTTTCTCTGAAAAATTTAATGAATAGTTATAGTTCTGTGGATTATATAGTTGTCTATACTTATATATCTTAGATGCTGAATATGAATGTTAGTCATGAGTGGTTGTTCCTCTTATACTTTATATCTTTGGATTTGTGGAATTGGGTTCAATTTCTTGTTCAACCAGGATTCAAGTTTAAGCATATTGTAGTTTTTTTGTCTCTGTTAATAATGTCTCATTTTTTGATTGGTAGATGGATTCTCAAGCTCAATCATTGTCTCAATTGACCACAAATATGAATGTCAAATAAAATGATGTGACGGGGGTTGGGGGTGATGGGCTATAAATATGCGACCATTTTTCTTAAGTTCAATCATTGTCTCAATTTTCTTTGTTTTGATCATTATAATGTTCTTTGTACTTATAATTGTTATTGCAAAATGAACTAGGTTAGTCCAGAATGATCAATGTAATGATATTATTTTGGTAGTTTCTAAAACATGTTCTTGTTTTCTATAAGATGTAACACGTAACATTAGCATTATCCTATGACGTATATGGGTTCTTGTCTTTGTTTTTTTTTAAAAAGGTTTAAATTTTTAGTTAAAGATCTTATTTATTTAATTTAATGTTTTTGGTTACCAAATGTGTTTTGCTTTTGACAGAAATGACAGCACAACAAAAATCACTGCTTCCATGTATCACAAATTGAAAAAAAGAAAGTGCAACGGTTACCAAAAAGGGCCTTAGAGAGTGGCTCCTGTCATTTTGATTCTCCAAGACATTTATTTATTTATTTTTAATAATTGTTCAGTCATCTTACTTCTCAAAAAAAAAAAAAAAAAAAAAAAAACTTGTCCAGTGATCTTATTTTGTAATCTATTTTCTATATTTCTTCTTTTACTATTTTGTTTTTAAATAATTATACTTTCTCTCTCAAGTGTCACCACCTAGTTCTTGTGTTTTTAACCTCCTTTCTCTTTCTTGATTGTACATTTAATATATACATCTAAAACTATGTTTGATGTTAAACTCTCTACTAGAATAACCTTACTATATTTTGCATTTTAGTGAAACTGCTCTTTTTTATTTCTAAAACTATTTTGCACTTCATGATAATTTCCCCTTAAACTGCTCTTCTAGTCAGGAAAATTTATATTGAATAATTTTTTATTTACTTATATATATTATAAAATATTTATTTATCTTTTGGAAGGTATAAAGGGAAATTGTAATAAAGGGAAATTGTAGCACTAGGTGGTACGTTTTTTGAACCAAAAGGTAGCTCGGTTGAATGACAAAGTAACTGCGTTTTTAGCAAGAGCTACGAGTTCAATTGGATGAAAAATTGAAGTATGGGGAAGTGTAAAATAGGTTAAGGCTATGAAATTGTATAAAATTTGAAACATCTCCCAACAAATTTTGCTGAACTAACATGGTTGCATTGTGGGTGGATATGTGTTACTGTGTTGTGTTGACATTTTATCTTGGATTTTGATCATATTCTACATATTGTGTTGTTGTGGCTTGAATTTTGTTTTGGCCCGAGTCGCGTTGTGACCAGTTTTTTCGCTTGTGGGTATTTAGTACTTTCTTGTAGTCCAGTATATGAGGGCGTTTAGGGTTTAGAGTGGAATAATAACGAGAGAACACTGAAAATTGCTGGAAAGAAAGTGAGAGTGAGAGCTAGCGTTTGGGGGCTGAAACATGTAATCTCCTGATTTCGCACGGTGAAATCTTTTACTGGATCTTCATCATGGATGTAGGTACAACTTGTGCCAAACCACGTAAATCTTTACGTTCTTTGTGTGTACTTTTTTGTCGTGATTTGTTCTTGGTTGTCGGTGTTTGTTGCTGATACTTCAATTATGCTCAGACAAAATGTCACCAAGTAATACATACTCGGTGAGTCTGAGGTCGAATCACAGGAAAAGAGAAAACAACAATTAATCCCTCTAAAATTATTATTATCATTATTTTAAATCTCTATAATTATATCTTTCTTTTCCTTCTTACTCTATTCTTTCTCTTCAGTATTTTTTTTTTTAATTCCCTTTAAATAAATTTGCATTCCCTTTCTTCAGCTAAATCTTAATTTTTTTGAATAGGTTATTTTGACCATATATGCTTAAAGATAGTCTTCTAAGATTAATCCTATATGTATAATATTCCAACAAACTCCATTTTCAGTAAAGTAGAAATGATTTTTACGAATTTACTGTGATTTAAAAAAGAAAAAAGAAAAAAAATTGTTTAGCATTAGATGAATTAGTTTCTGCTATAATCAAACCAACGTGCTTAATATTGATTGTGAGTCAATATAGTATATTAACAACTCAACATACGCAATATTTAACCTACACAAACCATTGGGCCAAGTGGCCCAGCGGTACCAGCTCTTACAGGAGATCTAGAGTTCAAGCCTCAGTGGAGGCACTTGGGTGTGTGTGTGTGGTTACTACTTACCTATCGGGGAAAAAAAAAAAAAAAATAGGTACACAACCATTCTTTTATTAGATATTCCACTGCACCCCTGGTTCGATCCAAGATGTACTCAATTCAATGGTGTACAAGACAGCTTTCGGAGATCGAAATTTACACAGATTTGATTGATCAATATGGTTCAATCTTTGATCGATACCCATTCTACCTTTTGTGATCTATTAAAGTTGGATCGATCCATGCTACTCATGCTTCGACCGATGCACCTGTACTTTCAAAGAAGGTTCTAGAATAAAGTTTTCTCAATGCTTATGGTATGTCCATGTTATAGCAACCTCGAATTTAATAAATAAAGCATGAATGCATGTTTGAAAAACTTTTTCTTGATGCACAAGAACTTGCCTAAGTTAAGAAAACTTGAAAACTTAGCATATTTGGTCTATGCATAAATAAGTAACCCTCCAATTACCTATTAGGAAACATATATATGTATATACTAACAAAAATGTACGTGCAATGCACGTAGTTCAAAATTGTATAAATAACTATGTTTTATAACTAAAAATAATAAAAAATAACATACGGTAATCCAAATAAACACATTTGATAAGATGTGAAAAACTCAATTAATATATAATAACTTTATCAAATTAGTAAAATATTTAGAATGAATATTAGTTTTACCAAGCACATAAGTTTTAAAATACTAATACAATCTACTAACAGTATCTCAAGCATATACATTACTACATGCTCTTGATCCAATTAAGCTTTAGCTGCCCATGTCTGTTAAGCACTAAAAACCATTAAACTACATAGAACCAATCAACTATAGATTATAGTCTACATTATTAACGTTATTAATATAAAAGCTGTAAAAAGAAATCATTAAGATAATACTGGTAGAATTGGACAAGGAAGTAATGTATGAAGCACGGAGCAAAAAAGGTATTTCATAAGGGACTAGTGCTAGAATATGGCTGCTGCGTAGTATTCAATAATTCGAAGTTTTGTTTCCACTTTTCACAACAATTATGTTTCAATGAAGTGGTTTATAAACACTCATATATATCAATATAATGTTTCTATCAATGAGAAAATACATTGAGAGATATACTTACCATCCAGAGGAGCACGTGTTTTGCTCTAAAAACTCGAGTGCCTTCTCCCAAACGATGTCTCCCTTGCAAATCTGAATCTCTTTGGATCCGTGACACACATCATTAACCCCCCCCCCCCGGTGGGCACGCACGCGCACACAAAAAAAAATGCATATTGTGAAACATTTGCAATTGTACGT